GAAAATCAACCAATCACATTCCCTTTGATTGTAATCAATTTCAAAGCTACATGAAACAATTTAAACCTCCTTTGCCAGTCTTTTCATGCAATTTTTCCTTTCTTTCATAACTTGGCTCTCCTTCTTTTCTCAGAAATTGTAATTTTTTTCATTAATTGGTAATAAGACTTCGTGTGGTCCAATTCGGTCTGTAATCATACTCTTGATAAGCAAATCGGACTCCCGCTACGCAGTCGTCCGATTTTGTTATCACTTGTTAGATAACAGACTACTCAGTGCCATTTACCATTACAAAATTTTGATGTGCAACCGTACGATTACACAAGCTTGACACGTGACCGTTCACGTGAAATATCCACAACGAATTTTTGTGACGTATTACCGAGAATTTTTTTTCAAATATGGAAAAATAGCGTTTGTAGCGTTAGTTAGCTAATTATAACATTACTGAAGATGAAACTGCGCTGTCTCCGTGATTTCTATTTTATTTACGTCTCAAACATAGCGAGAAAAGGCAGACGAAAGTTCCTATTACAGAAACTTCGAAAAGGAAGAAAAGAACTTGCTTAATCATGCTATCGAAGTTTCTATAAATAGAGAGATTACGAAATAGTTAGAACTTTCCAGAAGATGCTAGAAAGTTTCAGAACGAGGCTCAACTACTATAAGAGCGAAGCCCATGTGCTCGTCAACCGTCACACGGAATACGTAAGCCGCGGAATTCTGAACTAACGTTTATTATCTCCTCAGTCAAATTTTTGCACCAAAGATGCCTGGAACCCCAGCTATAGGAATCGATCTTGGTACTACGTACTCGTGCGTTGGTGTAATGCAACATGGAAAGGTTGAAATTATCGCTAATGATCAGGGTAACAGAACAACTCCTAGTTACGTCGCTTTCACCGAAAATGAAAGACTCATCGGAGATGCGGCGAAGAATCAAGTCGCCCTCAACCCCACGAATACAGTGTTCGGTGAGTCTTTTTCTCTAGCGTTTTAGCTAAAATTAAACCTTAGTGCGAGAGAAATATTTTTCATTTTAAAAGTAGAAATGCTTGCGTGGGTAAAACCTAAAGGTGACTTAAGTTCTTTGTGTCCGCCATGTTGGTTTTCAATATGCTTACGAAATCATTTCTGTTCTTGCAGACGCGAAGCGTCTAATCGGCCGAAAGTATGACGAGGAGTCTGTCAGATCGGACCAGAAACACTGGCCTTTCGCGGTGAGTAATATTATCTCCGTGTAAGCTACGCCTGAATTTGTAAAACGTAAATTTGGAGTTTCTTCGGTCTCCTCAGGGAGTAGTTCGATGGTAATTGTTTTCACTTTCACTTTCAGGTAATCAATGATGGTGGTCGACCAAAGATTCAAGTCGAATACAAAGGCGAGAAAAAGTCCTTCTTTGCGGAAGAGGTAAGCGTGTCTTGGGTTCATTCGTTTAAAAGTCACATAGGGATGGTTTTATTCGTATTGCGTAATCTGACTAGTCGTCAACCACGCGCCTTCATCGTGTTCATGTGTAATTTTTTTGTTCTCTCTATTAGATTTCCTCCATGGTTCTTACCAAAATGAAGGAAACTGCAGAGGCTTATCTTGGGTCCAAAGTCACCGATGCAGTTGTCACTGTTCCGGCATATTTCAATGACTCGCAGAGACAAGCCACGAAGGATGCCGGTAAGCTGTCAACACGCAACGGCAATCAACTCCATTTAACCTGTTGGAAGTAGTTGTGCCTTCTTCTCTGATACTACTTTCGTTCCTCTACACTTGCGTTTGTTTCCAAGGTTATAAGGAGTAGGCTTTTGGGGGGGGATTAAAATCTTTGAGCATGCGTAGCGGGGATGTACAAAGTTCACCTTCCACGTGTTTCTTCTACTCTCTCATTCTCACCCACACCCTTGTGGCGGTAGAAGAAGCAAATTACGTCACGAGACCGTAGGAAGAGATAAAGTAACTTAACCCATAGCTCCTAGATTAGATTTGTAATTCTCTTCACTGTTAACCATACTATACTTATAATGTAAGTTCAGAGAATTTAGTATTGGATCAACTAATTATCCCTAAATTGATGTTTCCTTTATTCTCATCACTTATCTGGTTGATATTGTAAAGAGAAATTCTTTCTTGGTCACTTGTGGGAGATGAAGGGTTAAGTTAACTAGGCTTAATTTTAAATTCTGAAAATGATGGTTTCTTGGTGTGAAGTTACATTCTTTTAATCTAAAACGTTTCACCAATTTTGAGTGCCTAAAATCTTGAACATAAAATTTCTTCAATGATTGTAAAAGCTTGAATGATTGGCCACCTAACATGTCTTCATTGGTGTTGTGAGGAACCAGATTAAATGTTATGCCTTACAAGTTTTGTCATGATTATCATTTATTTTGTGTCATTTTGTTTATTTTCTTATGTTTTTTTCCTCTTTTTTCCACAAATTTTGCTTGGAATGTTTTTTAAGGTATCTATGTTTCTCCCTGTTGATAACCTTCAGCAAGAGAAACAACAACCCACTTCTGTGTTTTAAACTTATTACATGTATTAACTTTTGTAGGAGTCATTGCTGGCCTTAATGTTCTTCGCATAATCAATGAGCCAACTGCTGCCGCCATTGCCTATGGTTTGGACAAGAATGCTGCCAAAAACACAGAGCGTCATGTTCTCATCTTTGATCTTGGTGGAGGTACCTTTGATGTGTCTGTTCTTACAATTGATGATGGCATCTTTGAAGTGAAGTCAACCTGTGGTGATACCCATTTGGGAGGTGAGGACTTTGACAATCGTATGGTTGATTACTTCAAGAAAGAATTCCAGAAGAAATATAAGAAAGATATCTCAGGCAACAAGCGAGCCATGCGACGGTTGAGAACTTCTTGTGAAAGAGCCAAGAGGACCCTCTCTTCAAGTCATCAGGCCAATATTGAAATAGACTCTCTTTATGAGGGCATCGATTTCTATGAGCCATTCAGCCGTGCAAAGTTTGAAAAAGAAAATGGAGACCTTTTCCGCGCAACTTTGACTCCTGTTGAGAAGGCTCTGAAAGATGCAAAGTTGACAAAGGAAAAAATTGATGAGATTGTCTTGGTGGGTGGCTCTACTCGCATTCCCAAAATCCAAGAGTTACTCAAAGATTACTTTGATGGCAAAGAGTTAAACAAGAGCATTAACCCGGATGAAGCTGTAGCTTATGGTGCAGCAGTACAGGCAGCCATCTTGCATGGAGACAAGAGTGAAGCTGTGTCAGACCTGCTGCTTCTGGATGTGGCTCCCTTGTCTCTGGGTATTGAGACTGCTGGAGGTGTTATGACAGCACTCATCCAACGCAACACAACAATCCCAACAAAGAAAAGTCAAGTCTTCACAACATATGCAGACAACCAACCTGCTGTTTTGATCCAAGTGTATGAAGGTGAACGTAGTATGACCAAAGACAATCATCCACTCGGAAAGTTTGAGCTCACTGGCATTCCTCCTGCTCCTCGTGGTGTTCCACAAATTGAGGTCACATTTGATGTTGATGCCAATGGAATTATGAATGTTTCTGCGGTGGACAAAAGCACTGGAAAAGAAAACAAGATTGTCATCACAAATGACAAAGGTCGATTGTCCAAAGAAGACATAGAGCGCATGGTGAAAGAGGCTGAGAAGTTTAAAGACGATGATGACAAGCAGCGCGACAAAATTCAAGCCAAGAACTCTCTGGAGAGTTATGCTTACAACATGAAGAGTACAATTGAAGATGACAAAGTTAAAGACAAGATCAGTGAAGATGACAAAACGGTTATCTCCGATAAATGCAAAGAAGTCATCGACTGGTTGGATCAAAGTGATGGAGCCTCAAAGGAAGAGTTTGAGAGCAAGCAGAAGGAGCTTGAGAAGGTGTGCAATCCCATCATAACCAAGCTCTACCAGGGTGCAGGTGGAGCACCTGGTGGAATGCCTGGAGGTGGAATGCCTGGAGGACCAGGTGGCTTCCCTGGAGGACCAGGTGCCACACAGCAAGGAGAATCCTCAGGTCCTACCATTGAGGAAGTAGATTAAGTTTGATGAACTTACCTCTCCAACTTTGTTGACAGGATATGTGCACTAGCTTATACTGTTGAGAATTTAACCAGTTAACTGTTTGAGTTACTGTCTTAGCAACAGTAGTTTCATTACACTATGTATCCTGCACATGTAAGAGCCAAAGAATAAAAGGTTTTTATTCAAGAAAGACTGTGCAAGACATTTTTGGGGTCACTGTAAAATTAAAGTTTTTGGCTCATATCTGTTTTCTATGTTTCTTGAGAGCTCTGTATGTGTCCTACACATACACAATGGCACTATAAAATTGTACCACCATTGATCAGCAAAGACAGGCACATCTAAAAACCTTCTGAGTAAGGTACGTTGGCCTATGGAAATTCATCACTTCCAGAGTATATCATGTTACTGGTAACTCAAGGTCGAATTAGTTGCAAGGAATGATAATAGCAGCATGTAGTGAAAAGTTAGTGTACCCCAGCTATTGCATCATGGAAAATTAATGAGAAAGGGTGGTGCTCCTTCACTGTGTTGGAAAGACATGTTTAACATCTTGAAGTAGAGCGCATTTATACGCAATGCTCAGTGAGCAGGTCTCTTTTTGCACGTCACACAAAGTGCTTCTCCTTGGTATGAAATAGTTGACTGCCCATAGGAAGGTGTTAAAAGTGACTCGTAGCACTGCATCCATCAACTCCATATCTTTTTTTCTCAACTATTGAAGATGGACAAATTTCTTGCTTTAGTTGCAATTCTTTCTCAATGTTTCACTCAGATTGCCATGCAAAAAGGGTTAACCAGTAATGAGTGATACGCAACTTCACCCTTATGTTAATGTCTGACTATATGACCATCCTAAAAAAACAAGTGCACCACAAAAGAAAGCAACTTTGAAAAGACAGGAAGAAAAATCTGCCCACTCTGTCAAAGGTGTATGATTTTGAGGAGGTTGGTATTCTTAGAAGAGGACCCAGTCACTGTAAAAGATGACCATACATTTATTAAGTTCTGAGTGAGACTAAAGTATCCATAAGAGTTAACCCAACATTCACCTCAATTCCATCCCTTGCACAAAAATCAGTAGTTTGTATATTTTGTGATTACACCTTCGTTCCTTTCATTTTGCTTCGGATTGTTTTATTTTTTTTCTCAGGACAACCCATCATTTCTGAACACAGCTAAGGTATTTTAAATAGCTTGAACAACATCCTTAATGCTGTCTCTTTCATAAAAAGTGTGTTTACTCAATTGAGATCCTTTTGTTTTGTATGTTTTTTATTTTTTTTGCTCAAGAGTCGGTGAACCCTTTCTCTCCTTAGATTTCATTAAAGGTTTGCCTCGCTATCTTTCACACAACTCTTATGTTATTTTGGATAACTTGACATTGGATCAACAAATAATCCCCTGAATGTTGCTTTTCTTTATTCTTGTCATTTTTCTGCTTCACATTGTGTTGATATTGTAAGGAGAAACTCTGTATTGGTCACTGGCAGAAGTTAAAGAGTTAAGGTTGTAGTAGCTCAAATCATTTTGCTGGGTGTGAGAAAGTGGTCAGCAGGTGTGAGCTTCCTTAGCACTATATTGACAAGTATAAAGTAATATATTGGAGGATAGATATAAAAGTGCTCAGTTTTCAGGCTGCTACTTTCTGCTAGCTGTCTGCTCTGCTTTTTTCAATCTCTTCTTGAGCTCAAGAGGCATCTTTTCATAGCACTTCTTGCACAGTGGCTGCATGTCAAATTCATGAAATTTGCTCCTGCCAAGAAAAAAGGGATTATCTGAACATGGAAAATTGACAACTTCAAGCAATGCCATCCCTCTTGAAATTAAGATTTCTTGCGGCTTTAAAACTCATAAAATTTAAATAGGTGATGTGGCACACGCAAGATCAGAGCAAGGAGAGTTGTGATGAGATAGAAAGGCACTTGAAACACAATTATAGTCCAGTAGTGCAAAAAAAACCAGCAATTACTCACTTGAGATTTAAAGTGATGTTGCATCCAATGCAAGTGAAATGCTGAACACACCAGCACTTGTGAAGGGCATTTACCACTGCATAATAAAGAAACAAATTCACTAACATGAATTTTAAATTAAAATACTCTGCAAAAACATATATTGTCACTAACAGTTCATTTTGGTTGGTTTGTGTTAGCTGGCATGAGAACAATTTTTTCAATCTGCAAACAAGATCCCAGCCTGGGGTGTGAGAGCTTAAGGTTAAAGTTGAAAATTTGCTGTTCATCATTTTGTTTTGGTGGCTGTAACAACAACCTAATTTCAAAGCAAAATGGCTGTTACCAAGAGAGTTTCACCTTAGCACTACAACAGAATTCCCCAAATCTCAATGTATTTTATCTCTCTTTCTGGAAGGATAATGCTTTGGTTGATTCAGTCTGAGGGCAACTTCAATACTTAACAACAGAACCTAAAGCTTTATAAACATTATACCTCATAGAGGCCTGAATTTTTTTTCAGGCCTTATTTTCACTATTGCCTAAATAGTGTTCATTACTGCTTTGATATTCATTTCTTAAACTGCAGTTCACACATGGTTTTCATATATTCACAGTCATTGATTATAGGTTCTGTTGTCAAGTATTGAAGTTGGCCTCAGACTGAATTAAAAAAACATCATTATGATATTGATAATGGTAATATTATAATAGCAATTATTTCTATTATCATTATCATCATCTTTCCCATCATCATCTTCATTATTATTAATATTATTATTCTTATTTCCATTGCTATTGTTCCTCACCATCTCCAACAATAGCTTTGTTGCATTCAAAGCATACATCACCAAACAGCTGCAAAAGAAACAGGAAAATAAAGATATCTGAATCTCATAACATCATTAGGTTGTCAAAAGATTAAACCTATTCAATTAATACACTATCCTGGAACTAGTGAGTGTATAACCAAGTTGAAAATTAATGAGCTTTGTAATGATTCAGTTATATTGAACAAGAGCAAGTGAGGCGACTGCATATTTAAGTTAAAAACTTAAAAAAAAAAAAAAAAAAAGTGATCAATTTATTTTCCACCCACCTCATTGTAGTGAGTTTCACAGTAGGCCAGTCCCTTCCTTTCATAGTAACGATGTCCATAGAAAGGCTTCTCACACTTAGCACACACAAAATGCTTGTAAAAAAAAAAATTCTCACTTAGCATCCACAAATTTCACCTCTCTCAAAACTTTACTTTTCCAGAGAATAAATTGGACTATAACCAACAAACAAACAAACAAACGTCACTCTTACATGTACCACAGGATACTATGAAAATCCAAGTGATATAACAAGAATAATTTTGATCCCTTGGTCATATATATGGCTGAAAATCTTAAGAGTTTGTATACCTCAACATGCCATGCTTTTCCAAGGGCATGTACCACACGCTCCTCAACAGGCCGCCTGAGATGAAAAATGTGTCACCAATAATTATTTTAGAAACAATTTTCATATCAACAGTTAACCCTTTAACTCTCAGAAGTGATTAAAATACAACTTTGCCATATGATATCCATACATTTGATTATCCAGCAAACAGGTGATGTGAATACTCAAACTTACAAGCAAGGGTTATCTTGATCAGACAATAAAATTTTCATAACTTATTTACAAGGACAAGGAAATTTGTAGGGTCATTTAAGTTGTTCATTGGTCCAATTTTGTGACTGTGCTTTCTTGCTGTCTTTTTCCCCTGTACCACAGAGTAATCCTAAAGCATGTTTTGCCTGTTCCAATACCCTAATATGGTAAAATGCCATTATCGTGGAATAATAATTCTTGATATTCACCTGTAGGTGGACTATTATACTCAAATTGAAAATTAACTTGAAGGTGACTTGCATTTCATGTATACTTACCTACAAGCACCACAGATTGGTGTCCCCATTTTGTCATGGCATCTCAAACAGTACAACTCTGTGTCTCGCTTGCGACATAGATGGTCCAGCTCTTTGCTGGAAAGATCATTAAGAAAAAAAATGGGGAAAAGAAGCTTTTCAAAGGTGTTTCCTCACTTGCAGAACATTCCTTAAAACTATTATCAAGAAATAATTTCCATCTTTTGAATTCTAAGTTTGAATACTAATTAAAAAAAATGATATAGTAATTATCTTGAAAGTCATTAGTTACACCATCGTTAAGTCACCAGTGTTATCCTTTTCAGTTGGTAACATGTCAAATTTACTTTCTGTAGCACCTCTTACTACAGCTTAAAATTGCTTTAAAAATTCAACAGGTAAAAGGATTGTTCTATCGGTTTGAAAATTTCCTTTACTTGTCATGCTCAAAATAAGGGAAAACACAAGAGTCACTTTGGAGTGATGCAAAAAGGGGAATTTCTGATTGATTGTCACAAAACCAAAACCAAAGGGTTGATAAGAACACAAAGTAACTACAAGAAAACTGCTTGAAGCCCAGGAAAACACAAGTGACCAGGTCACAAATTATTTTAGTTTTTATAATCTGTTTGGTCGAGAGGATGGCATAACTTTCTGGACCAGTCAAAAAGTGATGTAAAGCAAAACCATTTGAAGCAATCCTGGATTACTTTCAACACTCCATTTAAAAGTTCTACATATGAAAAAAAAAAAAAAACAATCAATATCTTACTTGCATGAGAAGCAGTTGTAATGCCAAGGATGCACAGGCTCACCCATGTACATCAAATGCTGTCCTTCAGGAATGTAAGTACTATTGACCACAGAAACAGTTTTAGTGTCTTCAAATACATTATAATAATAATATCTCTCAGTTCCAAGTACATGTGGGCACAAAAGAAAAATGGAAACAGAGTGGATGAACAAACCATCAACAATTCACTGTATACTTACTGACACTTGCGGCACACGTATCGTCCCGTTTCTGGAGAAAACAATTTTTTTTTTCACTTTATAAGTAAGTTATAATAAAAGAAATGTCAATGAAATAAAAAAATTAGTTAAACATACATAACAATTTTCATTACAATTATTCTTCAAGGGTAAAAAATGGCAAAGTACTTGGTATAATACCCTGCAAACAAAGTTTACTTTAAATTCTCAAGGAAGGTCAAACAACATGCACACCATTATAACACACCATTATAAGTATTTTCTTACTTTTAGTCTTTTCATCTGCATTGCATTTCTTGCACAGTGCCCTAGAGTACAGGAAATAATATTGGCTTGATGTAAATTGAAAAATTTACCTCTTTAACCCCCCCTACTGGTATTTCTCCCAACAGTCTCACCCCCGAATCAGAAATTAAGGTCATGAGAATATATGAAATAATTGCAAACTCAAAGAGGCTCTTGATTGTTTGACAAATTCTCCTTGTAAATACTATAAGAAATGAATAGAGAACAGCATGGAGAACTTGCATACTGATATTGGGGTGTTAAGGGTTGATATCTGAAAGAGGTGTTTAAGACTTATCACACTGAAAGCTAAGAGACAAACATTTTTAACGTCTAAATTCTTAGGCTGTCATTCAATAGGGCATGTATCCCATCTTGACGTAATTTTCTTTTTTTGCATGATAGAGCTACTTTGTGGCTTTCTAACTTGTTTTGATATGACAAACACCCTCCTCTACTTCTTTTGGTTGATTTTGGCCACACTTCCTTGAATTAACATGAATTAACATGTACAAAAAAAAAATGGTTTTCATTCACAGTATCTTGTAAATACCATGAAAAGGAATTTTTTGATTAAAATGATTTACAATTTTTTTTTTACCATCTTTACTAATGAATTTTACCTTTTTTACACCTCTTTTTCCATACACCCCTCTAATTCCCGAGATCTAATTGTTAATTCTCCCCTCTAGTTACAACACATTTCCTTGAAAATTTCTTACAAGAACTTGGTATTAGACCATGATGACAACTTTTACCTGATAAGTTTGAGTATTCTCAGTACCTGTTTGCTGAACAGTGTGTGGATATTATCAGAGAGAAGTCAATTGTTATCACTTCTGGGAATTGAAAGATTAAATTTATGTGTGAGAAATATTTGCACTCTTTAAACTCACCTGCCTGCGTTTTTGACAAACCCAGAGTCTGCCAGTCCATCATTACAGATTTCACAACGGAAGCAATCAGGATGCCAGTTAGCTTGCATAGCCTTAATAACACGCCCAACCACAAATTTACCTACAAGGGAAATCTAAATGTTAGGGTGTTCAGTAACTGAGTCTTACAAAATTTCACCCATCACCTCTAAGAGCTAGACTCTCCAGACTGATAAAAATACCTAGCTTTGCAGGATATTTTTGAGAATTTGGTTTTAGTTCCAGACATTATCATCAAATTGAAAATCTTTTTCAATCTTGCTGTTTTCTTACTTGATAGTGTACTTTGAATATGGGTCATTAAAAGTTGGACACCCTTAGGAGAATCCAGGTTCATAATTTACCCTCAGATTTCATAAATCTAGACCTCTCAACCTTGAGTCCTGTGCACTAACCCTTTCACTCCCATGAGTGACCAAGACAGAATTTCTCCTCACAATATTGGTACAATATCAACCAGATAAGAGATGAAAATAAAGAAAAATATTAATTTGGGGATAATTTGTTGATCCAATACTAAATTCTCTGAACTAACATTATAGGAATTGTATGGTTGATAGTAAGGAGAATTACAATTTGATCTGGGAGTAAAAGGATTAACTGTGTGGCCAATGTGTCTCCCACTCAACAAAATTCTCAGAGTGACAAGATTTTGATAAGTATCTGATCTAGAAGCAGCAGCTATACTTCATGCTGTAGACAATGCAATTCTGGTAGTATAGGCCACTTTGTGACTGTGTGCAGACTTGTGTAATTGGGATGGTCCTTAGATAAAAAAAAAAAGCTGTTCAGCAAACATTAGGCACACTTACCACACTGTTTGCAACAAGGAGCAAACAAAGTCTGGAAGTCTTCTTCACAATATCTTCGCTCATCATACTAAAATACAAAGCATAGCCCATGAGATTTCAGAATGAGTTAATTCTCTTCTGACTGACGGCTTTAAATTCATACGTGAACTGAGGGTCTAAGTACAGGTTACAGAAAGCCTAGTGGCTTAAGGTGAACTGTAATTCTTCCTTTTTGGCCAACAACCCTTAAAAATTGCCTCAACATGCCAAATTGTCAATCCTACATGGCTGGATGTTGAGAATGCATTTTGTGTTTTTAACACCTGATAAGCTTCTTTACCCCTTTCCACCCAAAAATCAGCATGCATATTTTTCATACTGTTCTCTATCCATTTCCTGAGGTGCAGACAAGCAAATCAAGAGTATCTTTAGTTGCTGATCATTTCCTTTATTCTCATGACCTTAATGTTTGATCCAGGGGTGATATTGTAAGGAGAAATAAGATGATAAAATCAAAGGGTTATTATTACAGCAATCATATACTTTTCAAGTTTCTATTTTAGGCCAGGGTGTATAAATTCTCTTAAATAAAACAAAAACAAGCAAAAACTTGCCTCATAAAACAAGCCATCAGGAAAAGGCTGAAAGCATTGCACACAACTAGTAAAACAAAGCAAAAAGTGAAAGGTCACATTAAACAAAGCTAGCAAACCCTGATTTTAACTGTTTCTGAAATAATATTACTTTGTACGCAATCAAGTCAACCATTTCCATTCACAAAGTAACATTAATCATACTTTTGCTTTAGTATAAAATGTGTAGAACACACATTTTGGGTAACTTATCCATGTGGCTATCTTATTTGTTAAAGACTGAGAAATTCATACTTCAATTTTATCTTTACCATGGTCACCACAAGTGAATTTGTTTTCAAATTGCTAGCCACTTGCACAAAATTGGACATGAAACTGATCGTTTAAAACTATATGCATGTAAAACATAATGCATGGCTTTAAAACATGTTTTAAATCTTACACCAAGTCCTAAATGAGTGCATGCAATGAAAGAGAGGGAAAAAAGCATATTCTTAATTGACTCTAAGTATCATATTAATATACATAAGTTAGTCTGACAGTTCATAATTGTCAAATCACAGGTATCCTGAGCTCACATCTCAAGAAAAAGCAAACAACTAATAGGTTGCACACTATGATTGTGACCATTGTTCAAATGGAGGTGGTTTGCACCAAGAGAATCCTTCCAATCTGCAATTTTCTCTCACCCAGACATGATACAACCAGTTTCGTGTCCATATATCACAAGGTAAGTAAGGTGCATAAACTGAGAGTACCTCCTCTGTTCTAGATAAAATTCACCTTGGACCTGAGCTTCTTCCACAGCCATGTTCACTCTTGACATTAAAAGAATAGGCAGAAAGAGGCAGAATTGGAAATGCTGGTGGGAAACACTTGTTTTAAGTATAATGCGCAGGGAATTTTAGAATTGAGTCATTTTCCAGCTTGCAGTGATCAGAGATTTTAAACTTTGGATGGAAAAATTGCCAATTTGAAGGATTTTCAGGGTGCAAACTGCCTCTGTGTGAACAATGGTCAAAATCATAGTGTGCAGTCTTGGCTTCATCTCATAGCAGGAATAACAGTGATGGCAAAGCAAGCTTAAAACAGCACAGAATGCCAGAAACCACAATGGACACACAAGGAGTGAGTAAGTGTTATAAATCTTGCATGTAAAATGTTCATATTTGGGAATATTTAATGTTGTAAATCCACCATATTTCTTTCCTCATACTATTCCTTATAACGCATTCAAATTCACAACAGTTCCTCTGTTGAGAATTTGAATCCTCTAACACCGCGTCACACAGCACATGAGGCTGTCATGAATTACTCTTGTGCTTTTTCTCGAGACATGAGTGTGGTATGCCTGTGATCAAATTTGGAGGTGTTTGTACACTGTTTAGGGCCCAACTAAGGAACAGCATACAAATAAAATTTACCTGGCCTAAAAAATGACAACGACAACAACAACAACAACAACAAAAACATTCAAGTGTATTCAAGAAAAGGTAGTTTTTAGAATTTCAGAGTGACTACTCGACTGTATAGAATTCATATCAAACACCAAACTGAATACCCACTGAGATTAGAATTATTGTACAACAAATGAGGTAACACTGATTGAGTATTCAACCCGGCAATTTTTAATTTCCTTTCCCTTGCATTCACACCTAATTTTTGGGCAGACATGACTTCCGATCGCGAATAAAGGTGGGGTAAATTCCTGTAATTTTTTAAGGCAGCCTTCAGACTAAATGAACCAACAAATCTAACACAAACTAGTTCGAGAAAATGATTTATACTGATTTACAAAATTTCTCTCCGAAAAATTAAGGGTCATTAACACTAAAATGGCTTGAAAGTCAAACCTTATCTATAAAAGAGATTTCGGAACTAAAAACTGAATTTGATTAAATTGAAGCAGTTATCTCTCTAGGTCAGGCAGACGCCCGTGGATTAAAATTGTCTGTTGTAAGTATCACGTCGTCTTTCGAGAAAATAAGAGAAATTTCACAAAGGCAACAGTGTCAATTAATTATTTATCTTAACTTCACAGAAATTAATGACTTACACAAAACAGCGCTCGTGTAGAATTTGACCATTGGAATTTACCATTCGCTCGTCAACCCCAAAACTCTCTTGACAAACCGCACAGATGGCGTTCCCCAGTCCGTAACCCGCTGGCGGTGGCATGTTGTTTTGAACTGGCATTCTTATTAGAAGGCAAGAAGAAAATCCGATCTGACTACCAAATAGTTATCACGAAGGTAAACGAAAGCCCTGAAACTGAGATTCTCACCGGGATTGACAATAACAACGAATGACTGTGGCCTCTCCTTGAAAAGTGAGAAAACTGGGTACTAGCTGAACACAAGCTTCCACTGACGGGGTAGGGACGGTGGGGACAAGATTCCATTTGTTTTCAAGGAGCGTGACCCTCTGTGTGTCACGCCCAGCAACTACGTGTAGAGTAACCGTTGTGGAGAGCAAAATTTTTGACGTTCAAGGCACCCTCAATACTTTGTCTTACTTCCTCTGATGCACAGACAATCTCCGGGCGGGACAGTCAGTTCCTTGGCCATCACAGGTTACTTAATAAAGGATTTCTTGAACAGGGTCAGAGTTTACTACCACAAAGGGAGCAAACCATCGAATGAATCCCGATACTAAATTCAATACCTGATATCACAAAGTATCAGACTCAAGGCAGACGACAAATTAAAATAAATCATTTCACTTTCTTTTTATTCCATAATACTAAATCAGCAACCAATCAATTTGATCCCTGAGAATCATAGTCGTTTTCATATCTATTTGATATATATCCTAAGCTTAAATTCTAAGCATTTACTGACAGTCAGATCATGAGCTGATCAGAAGATATCTTCTCTAAAATAAGCCTTAACGTTGAAAATCTTTCTCATAAATAATCTTTTCAACTTCTTTCGCCTTCATTATGAGGCTGTGCTACTAACAATATTGTCTAGCCCCTCCCTTCCCTCCCCCCTTCCCTTTCCCCCTTTCCCCCACGATCATTTGTTTCATTTTAGCGTCAACACTGAGTCTCCAAACATCATTAATATGCGGCAAAATTAGTTTAAAAGAAGCCTCTACTCTCTATCCCCTCTTCCATTTTCGTCGCGCTTCCTCAGCTCGCCTGCAAAACGCAAGAGAAAAGGAATATGACACCTGCTATTTCATAAGCACTCTCAAGCGCTCTTAATTAGTCAAGTTTCCTCTGATTGGTTAAAAACAAGGGTATTCAATCGATCAATTAGAGTAAAAGAAATTACCTCAAAAAGTCATTGAAAACTCAGAATAAACACATGTTAATAACTTCACACTAAGGAAAACACGAGTGATCATGGCCTGGTCGTGACTGATTCTGATTCGTTGAGCGACTGGCGTGAGTCTTCTGACTGATGGCAGAATGAAGGTAACGGAGCAAAACATCCCCCACAACTTTTGACATTCAATCAAAAATTTGCTCCATAGTATTGTTACAATGAATCATATTCTCACTAGAACTAGCCTCCTCTTGAGCCGTTGTTTAGGATATCCCCCAACGCTTCCCAATCAAGAAGTGGCTTCTCCATTCCATACCCCATGTAGGCCAGTCATAGAGGACACCTCGTGCAAAATTCGTCCATTTCCAGGGGTGGACGCTGCGTGACATCCCAAACAACAGCTGTGAAGGAGAGTAATCTGAAATGTACGTTCAATAAACATGCAAAATGGATTGACTCTTTTCAATACTCAAACGGGGTGTCCGGTTCATTTATCAACTTCTTCCAGAACATAAGCGAAGCCAGTCTTCCGCTCTGCGGAATGCATGTCGGAAAGACGGTTAGCATGGTACCGAGGTAGTTATATCCAGGTCCCACATAGTGATACTCGCTCAGGTAGCCACAGGCGTCATGAGTTGCAGTGTGATACAGAATAGCATCTATTTCTTCTTTCTCTTTCCCCGTGATTCGATAATGTTTGTTGTTTGGGTTTGCGAGTTCTGTCCTACCTCCTGAAAGGCACAAGAAAAAATTTAACATTCGCATGATTTACATGGGGTAAATCAGGGAAGAGGGAAATTACTTTAATTTTGTGGGGATCAAAACCTTCTGAGGCTCGTAAGAGGGGTCACTTTTTTCAACTTTACTTTCGGCCAGATTTACTTTCAACCTTACCCTAACCTAACCCTAACCCTAAGCAATTCCATCGTTATTTCGGCGGTGAAAAGAATTGTGCTTCTTCATTGTACACTTCAAAAAAATCTTCGCTACAAGAAATTTCATTTTTGAAAATATTGCTAATGAACGCAGAAAACAGTAAGCCCGCACATTGAAAACAATATATTTGAGGGATGCTAAACATAGAAGCCTCCATTTGGCTCGAAAACATTCTCGTATATTTGTCTCTGATCTGTTCTTCGAAGCTCACAGTTTTCGCTTTTGTACGCTTCTCTGAACAGACAATGTTCGCGGATAAATATACGACCATGAAGGCTATTTTTTATTTATTAATTGGCTGTAAAAGGTTCTCCATGGATACAATTTTATTGATTTGGTTTAAGAAAAAAAAAAACCGTGAAAAAAAATTCCAGGTTAAACAAGCAAACATCAATTATGAGCCACGGTCTCAGTAGGGCCTCGAAAGAAATTGCAAATAGAGGGGGGCGTGTCCGGATAGAGCATGAAGCAAAATAGTTTCATACGAACCTGCAGGATGCAAAAGAACACCGAACACTGGGTCAAGGCCACCGAGTGTGTCTGCAATGATCTCTCCACATCTCAACTGCTGTTTGGTTCCCCAGTACCAATCGTCATCGCGTAAAACAGCTAAGGGCTTCTTGTTGTTGTGAATGCACTGGAAACACTGCTGTTCTTGAATACTATTCTCCATGTCCTCTCGCTGTCCGCGAATGAGCAAAAGCCTCTTGTAGTCTGTCATCATTTTTGTTTCGTAGAAACCAGGTCTGCCCTTCGTACGAAGCTTGACGACTTCCTTAAGAGTGCTTTCTGCCTCTGAAGAAAGTCCTTTACCATTCTCCACAAGATTGTAAAGCTTCCTCAAATGTTTACCAAGGCTCTGAATTTCTTCATTTCTTATAGCTACACTCGCTCTCCTGTCGCTAAAAGACGAGTAGAAGAGCTCTCTCAGATAACTTTCCCTTTGTTCCTTTGAGAGATACGAATGCATTTAAGTACACAAAACCGCGACAGCACTCTCAGCTCCAAAAGTGTGGCAAGTCGGTACATCAAAGTTCTTCATAACACACTTGGTAGTCCTACACTTCTATTCCATATTCATTGAAATGTTGTTTCCGAAAATGTTGTCAAGAAAAATTGCCAATATTTTGACATCTGCTTACGTCAACACGCGTCTTGTCCTGCAATTTGGTAATTTTGCAGGTGGTGAAATATTTTGCGGTTCCTGAATGGCCGTCGTTTGAAATTTTGCCATAATTCCTTTCTAGTAAGGGACTTGGTAACCAGTCAGAATTTGTCTTGACAGAAAACAAGTCATTAATCATGAATAAACCTGTTGTGGGTGGTTATCAGTAAAAGAGAGATGAACTGTCTTCTCACGTGCGTCATTAGCTCGACAAATAAACTTTTTTTTTCGAGTAAATAAACTGGTATAGTGCTATTCTTTCTCAGACCTTGCCGGCTTCGAAACCGGTCATTTTGGCGCCTTTTGGGTCTTTTTTATTTTGTAAGCTTGCTCGATATTATTTTTTCTCATAACTTATTGGCAACTTAAGCAGTCAACAATTACGCTCTCAAGAATAGGCGAGATACCAATCAGTGCAAGTGTTGAAATTCCAAATGAAACGTTGCCGAGTGTTGCAATCACTTGCAGCCATGGGCATCGAAAATTGATTAATGCCATAGGCTAGGAAAACTTAAATTACCTGTGAAGCGTTCCTAAAGTAATACTTTTTCTCACGAGTTGCGAGAAAATCTTCCAATTTACAAGCTTGACAAAGTACTAAAAAGTTTATACCCTGTACTTTTAATTACAACTCATCCCTTTTAGACACGGTAGATCTGATATGAGTCGTGCGGGTTAATGGTTTGCTTATCGACTGGATATTCCCTTTTATGCGATAAGCTCAATGATAAACGCGTTTTGGTGACTTCTTACTCATGATCTATTGGAGGACAGACGCAAAGATGACGTCACCATCGACTGTGTTTTGCTTTTTTGTATCATATAAAACAAATCGATTCAATGTTCCCGTGGGTCTGTACAGAAAAAGATCACAGAAGACTTCAAAATGTTGTAAGAACATCAGTGACACACTTAACTGCGCCTCGTGTCCACCTCCCCCCTCCCCCCCATATTTTGACGTCATCTGTGAACAGACGCACAGCAACATGGAATCTAGTTGTCTAATTAAAATTTGTTGTGGACAATTGACAGTGAGTATACACAGATATCTATGAGTACATAGGGGTTTCTCTGAGCACACAAGGGTATCAATGGGCTTGCATGAGTACACTAAGGTGCCCGTGGTTAAGCAGCGGTTTACGCGAGCATACACGGGTACCTGGTTAAGAAAATTTATTTTATCTTTGCATGTGGCGACGCAATACTTTCTCTTTGAAGCTAAGCCAGTAATTGTACAAATTTCGAATTTGAAAAACAGCACTTACACTCCATACTTTGAATATAACGAAGCGCCTCTAAAATCAATTTTCTCACAATTTCACTCGGGAACTAAGCGCCTTTGAAAAAATATCGTTTAAAATTTGTTTTACTGGATTAGCTAGCCTTGCTCTGAAAAAGTCAGTTACAATTTACTTGGCAGGACAACTAAATAATTTTACGATAGAGAAAACATGGCTCTTAAATTTTGTTCAAAAACTGTTACATTCAGTTTAAGAGTACATTGTCCATTTTCCTGTCTCAAATTAATATAGGCAGAAGTCAAGCGAGCTTTTTACAAACATTTATCGCCATTTGTATCGATCCGAATTGTCTTTCGCGAGTGGAATCCTCTAATGACTGGCGGTTGATGATTTCATGTTACTTAATCTTTTCTTATTTGAGTAGACTATGTTCTTTTACTTATGCCTCATGAGATTTCGTGGGCACCAGCCAATTCCCAAAATCAAATGTCACGCTGTCACCAGTCATCAAAGCCACTGTTTCTCATCCACTTTCTGACCTCGTGAAGAGATTCACTTTCACTGTAGAAAAAGTGCTCATAGAAGCAAGTCATAAACTGCTCTGTGGCTGCGTCGCCCAGGGCGCACCGTGTCCCCAATATTGAGCGAGCACCGGATCCTAGGAACGTTTGAGCGATACCAATAACTCCCTCGATTCTAATCTGTCCAATAGCGCCGTGACAACAGCTAAGTACCACCAGTTAAGCTGGCAGCTTAACTTGTGAAATGTCCGCCATCGTCTAATGGTAGTCCTCTTCAGGAGGAATGCAGCTCGTTGGGATCTTAGGAGAAAGAGCAATCTCTCCTCTATCGGTACCACCATGGGCAGCAATATGTATCAGGCTCACTGAACTTATCCCTTGAAGTACATCCTGCTTTGTTGCGCAGTCTCCAATCAACGATATCACGTCAAGAAAGCCTTCAAAGCATCTTCGTTTCCCCTTTTGCACATGGCAATGGTGCTATGTTTTTGCGTCTTTCCTTGTAAATCACCTCTCCAACCACAGGGTCACCCATTATCAGTGCATTAGTGTGACTGTGATATTCAGGGGAACTGTCTAGGACGAGCTTGAGAGTGGTCAGAGATGGAACGATACGAAGCCCGAATACCTCTGATAAATATTCGCCTCCTTTGTCACTCAGAGCCGCGAATGGTATCTGGTACAGACAGGAATCAGGGACAATTATAATCTTGGGCTCCGTCAGTAGTTCGGCCACAGGAGCAATCAATATCTTGTAACACAGGTGAAGATTTGTTCTGGACTGTTCGGTACCATGGTCACGAAAGACCGCTCACTGGTTTTCATAACAAAGTGAAATCGATTCTAGGTCATCTAGAGATCGATCTCCGCAATTCTGTTTGGATGAAAATTCTAAGGCTGCGGAAGCTTTCTTTCAAATACTCATCTAGGTCAGGGACGAATCCTTTCACCACGTTTTTGTCCAGGCTCACAGTCTTTTTTAATAAGTGGATACCTCCTGTTGCTTTGAGAATCCAGAACCGAACATCCTCTTCTCCATCGGAGATGTAGAGGCAGGTAGAGTCAGTTCCTTTGCGACAATATTTTGAATCCCACACCATGATTGTGGATCGCCTGAGGGCTGCTCCTCAACAGGGTCTCAACAGAGTACAGAGCTGCAATCAAGTCGCTTAGGCCTCTTGCCCGTCCCAGGACCTTTCAGGGACGTTAAGCAAACCAGCAAAAACGTGATGTCAACGAAGACGTGGCAAAATAATAGATCTAATGGGCAGGACAATGGCTTAGCACGTGATTTTTTTAAAACCTAGTACGTTTCTTAGCCGTCCTTTGCCAAACAACAACATGAAATTACCAAAATTTGCGCTGAGAACGGGAACCCCGACAGCAAATTATGTAAGTTTCCATTTGGAAGTCAATGCTGCTCACATACATTTTGCAATCTTTCACCCGTTAAAATACGTTTTTCACGTGATCGAAACGTATATCAGTAAATACATTTTATTCTCACTGAAACATGTAACCTAGATATCAGTGATGTGTTTCTCGTTTTTAAATTTAGTTAAATACCGCAAGCCTATGGAGCCCGCAGTATTCGATAAAGTTTTAAACCAATCAGATAACAGTATTTCAAGTCGTGAAACTCAAAATGGCTGTACTTCTATTAAGTTTGGCTTGTGTACTCAACGGAATGATATCCAGAGAGTGCCAACCGAGTAGAGCATACAGATTGTTTTGTTAGTCAAGATATGTTCAAAACATCAACAGGCACAAGAAAAATTGACTGTACACTGCGATACTTTTATTCTTTTGCGTTAAACCAGCAATGATACGACACGGAGCTAGATTCTTTGGATTATGACGTGACGTTTGGTCCATTTTTTTTTTGTGTGGTTGATTGTGAGAAAAATTCTGCGGTTCTGTTACTAATCTACCAGTGGTATCATACGAAATCGGATGAAAATTATACGAAAGTTTGAGGTCAAAAGAATATGAGCAAGACAAGCTCCAAGGGGTAAGTTTCCACTTTTTGCAACATTCAATGAAATTGTTTTCCTTGTCCGAACGAGTGTTTGTGTTGTGAAAACGTCTGGCCAAATTTTATTTTAGGAGCAGTGCAAGGATAGGCACTCTACTAGAGCAACTACAAAAGCTGTGTCTCGCAGGTTCCGAGGCCAAGTATGATCAAGAGAAGCTTGATGTCGAACAGTTGCGTTACGTTACGAATAAAATTCAGCAACTTTTGTCTTCTCAAGGTAACGGTTACAGTTATGTAATTTAGCATCATGTTACCAAGCACAGAAATAAAGGTATACTAAATTTTCAAAGACTTATTTTTCTCCACGTTACCAGCATGCTCTCAGTCAGTTAGATAGTACTGAACGTTAATTGCTCACAATAAGGCGAATTGTCTTTATGGAACAGTTCTACTGTAAATATAGTAAGATTATTTTTTTACAATCAATCATGCATCACTTAAAAGTTGTTGTACGAATTAATTTTTATTTAACGGTTTTTTTTTTCAAACATCTTTTACTATTTATGCATTGCAATAAATGAGGGAAAAATCAAAATTGTGCTAGCTTGGAAAATTTAAATAAATTTGAACCACACTTTGCATTTCTGACAATGGCAATAAGCATGTAACAACTTTTTGATAAACACTTTTGCAGAAAAATGCCGCAAGGATCTGACAACAAAATTTAGAGATGGACTGTCAACACTGCTTTTAGTTCTAGAGGTAAAGCTCTTTCATGAGAAACTTTAATCTTAAACATCTCAGTTTGTGGATCAAGTTTAAGTGAAAATTTAGGAAAATGTTTTGTTTCTTGTAGATGTCAGCAGATACACAACTCATGCTGAACATTTTGGGTTGTCTGTGTGAACTGTTAACCACAGGTATCTGTGTTTTAACCCTCTATGCTCTTATGTCAGTATGCATTTTCTCCATACTGTTCTTTATATATTTCCTAAGGTGCTGATAAGGAGAATTTGTTGAACAGTCTAGAACTTCTTTTGTTGGCCAGGCTGTCATTTCCTTTTTTTCTTTTAACCTCAATGTGTTATTTTGGGAAGAGAAATTAGATGCTAGTCACTCTTAGGGGTCATAAGGTTAAACATTCATAATGAGTTGAAGTGCGAAAGTTGTAGAAAGGGGGTAAGTTTCCAAAGAAACAATGGTGCTGTGTGGATGGGAGAGTATAACAACAAATGGAATGCTGCTCTGATGAAGGGCTAATGCTCAAAATGTTAGCTTTAAAACTCTTTATGGTGGCCAATTTACGTTAACCCTTTAAATCCCAAGATCTGATTGTTAATTCTCCCCTCCAGCTGCTTAACATTTCCTTGTAAATTAGTTTTGAGAACTTGGTGCTAGATCAAGATAGCAGCTTCTACCTGATAAGTTTGAATATTCTCATTACCTTTTTGCTGATTAATGTATGGATATAATAGGGAGAAGTTTTATGTTGATCACTTCTGGGAGTTAAAGGGTTAAAACTCAGTTGGTAATACTAAATTACCTTAAAAGTTGTAGAGTTTGACTAATACTAAATGGCAGGGTGTTAACAATTACCTGCACCATACAAATGACTTCTTCACTGCATTTACTCTGAAGAGGACCAAAACAGAACTTCCTAATACAGACAGATCGAAACTTAAACCAATCAGGACCCACTCACCAGACTTCAGTCTTACAGCTGATAACATTATGGCTAATCTGACCAATCAGTTTAGATAAACTAGACTTATAACACTCAACTGACAACAACAACTCTTCACTGGACTCTAAGATGACTTCTGCTAAGGTTTTCAAAACATCAGTCACCACTACCAACAAAAGTCCTTATAAGGATTACAGTCGCCTGCACAATCAGATTGCATAAACAAATGTTACCTGCTGGTTAAAACCATTTACTGTGCTACGGCTACTACGAAAGGAAGTCATGTAACTAGGCATAATTTGTAGATTATGATGATTTTGAAAACTAGAGTAGAAATAAAGATCACGATAGGGAAACATCTAAAATATAACTATCATGGCTAATTTTGCTCAGTGGGTGATGTGGTGCATATGATAAACAAAATATATGATATGAAAAATCGTATCACCAAGGGAAGCTTGAATCTATGGTCTGAATCAATATATGAAATGTTACTTAAACATTTAGATCATGTTAACCCTTTAACCCCATGAGTGATCAAGACAGAATTTCTCCTTTCTTTGTTTTAACATTATACCCATTCTACAGAAATTTATCATGAACTTACAATTTTTGTTGCCTGAAAACAGGTAAAAGGGCATCTGTTCTTGCAGCCAAGGGTACTGTAGATATCATACTAAGAGTGATTGTGAGTGCTAGTAAAGAAGCATCAGTTTGTGAAGAGGCCTTGCTGCTTTGCCATGTCATTTTAACAAAAGTTGGGCCAAAAGGTGAGATGTTAGATATATGTAAGTTAATACCTGGTGATCTTTTCGGGTATATGTAGACAGATAAATCTGAAAGGAACACGGCATTGGGTATTACTTGTTATCTAGAATATATTGACCTTGAGAGCCAGTAACCTCTTACAAAGAAAGCTGTGAAGTCTGCACATGGTTGACCCTGATATACATCATTGGGTTCAGATATTGACCACAGAAGAGTATTACTTGAATCATTGTGAATAGGGTAATTAGAGTCCCTATGTGTAGTATATGTTTAAGGGTGCTGAACTCGTAATCTGGTGGTCCTCCATCCTGCTATTCGCTGGATTTGTTCTTGGTCACCCCTATTTCAACTCCGTGGCTGCACTTTGTAAATAGCCAACTGGTCTGCCTCCTGCCAGTTGGGATTTTCAAGTGCTTTATGTTGCCTTGAATCATTTGTTTCTTTCTCTTTCTTAATGTTAAGTGCTTGGGGGCTTGCAATAAGCACTACATGAATAGTTAATTTAATTTTGATATAGTAGAGAATTAGGTTACCAGGTACTGTCTCTGAAGTACTTTTGTTGTCATGTTCCTGAAGAAAATCTCAATTGAGTGGTTTAGTATCACTTAAAATCAGGGGCCATGCCAAACCAAACCTTGCAGTCAAGAGGAAAATTGAAAGAGGCCTGGCTTAGAAAATCACATAAATGTATCAGTTCTCAAAGGGAAATGACACTCTTTTGCTCACACATATGGAGCATGTCTTTTCAAAATGAATTCTTCTTGTCAGTGAAAGAGCTACCTGTTGCTGTATTTATTTTTGTTCAGTAATTGTTTGTAAAACTACCTCTGAGGGAGATTTTGGCATCGTGGTTTAGTTCGTCAGGAATACAAAATAAGCAAGAATAAACCAAGAAAAAACAAGGGTGACCAGGTTGGAGAATATTGAAATGGATTGAAATTAAAAAAAACTCAGAGATGTGCAATCCATCCACAATTTACCTCCCAAGATCTGCTCATTAATTCTTCATGCTTTCTGCTTGTTCACAGATCGTAAACTTTGTGTGAAAGCTCGTTTGACTGGAGCTCTCCAAGTCACAATGAATATGGTGAAGAACAATACAACATTCTTTAAGGTTCTACAACCTGCATTACAAGTCCTTAAACTTTACTCTGCCAATTGTAAGTTATCAAACTGTACATGTTCAACTCTGCCATACATTGCTTACATGCATTCTCATAAATTGGGGGAATTTAAGCTTCATCTTGTTCATTTTAGTCTCCTGTTTTTGTGTCATTCTTTCTTTCGTCTTCTGATTCCTATGAAATGATAAGATGAAGGCTTGATTTACAAATAATTAATATAAATACATGGTGTGTCCTAAATCTTGACTATGGCCACTTTACATGCAGTTGAAGAGGAGATTCTAAAAGAGGTCTAAAAAAGGCTCTACATAGCACCCCTACCACACAAAATGTGACTTCAGATTATGATCAGCTGATACCCATAGATCATTGCCTCATCAGTCATAGTCACAAATTTTGGGGTCAGTGACTTGCTACACGCTAATTTTTAGGGGGTGCTTTTGGATGTACAGTCTCACCTGTGGTAAGCAGCATTATATTATGTGGTCACTCTGAATTAAGCAGTCAGTTGTCAAAGTCTCACATTTGTTTCCCCTTAATTACTGTAATTTTCACCTTTATTTAGCAGTCATCTCAATTGGTTGTGGTCACCCTTTACTGAGTCCTCTACTTATACTGAACAATAACTTAAAGCAGAACCACTCTAAGAAAACTAATAATAATCTTTCAGGTTAAATTTAATCTAAGTTTATCTCCTGAAATTGTGGTTAGCAGTATTCTTCAGTAAATTTTTTTACTTTTTCAGAGCTTATTAACTCCCTGATCAATCAACAAACTTTTTGCAACCAGGAGCTCCTATCAGAGCTTGTTTACTCCCTGATCCACCAACAAACTTCATACAATTGGGAGCTCTTATCATAGCTCATTTACTCTCCCAATCAAGCCACAGATTTCTTGTGATCAGGAGCTTTTTTCAGAACTCATTAACTCCATGATTAACTGAAAAACTTCTTGTGACAAGGAGCTCTTATCAGGGCTCAGTGACTCCTCAGTTGACCGACAGACCTCTTGTGATAGGGAGCTCTCATCAGAGCTCATTGAATCCCCAATCAACCAACAAATTTCTGTCTTTTTGAGTGATCAAAATCTGCTATTTATTATTTTCATCATTTTTTACCATATTTCATGAAATCAAGTTTTTTCTTGGTTTCTTTAGCAACAGTTGCCATTTGAGCCATTAACCAACTAATGAAAATTATCCTACATTAAGTAACTGCCAAAGTTAAACCACCCCTCCAAATTTTATTTTATTTGGTTGAGTAGTTACCAATGTATTATTGAAAAGTTCCTGCACACATAAATACTGTACAATCAAACCTGTATTAGGGAGTTACCCATGGGGAATGGCAGAGTGACTGCTAAATACAAGTTGACAGCTTAATACAGGTCCCTCAGATTAGGAGTATTATAAAAAAACAAACACAACACCACTTTATGCCATAATTAGCCACTTAATGTACAGAATCTTGCTCAAAAATGCTACTTACTTTGAATTTGGGATAGAAATATGGATTAAAAATTGCTTGAGAGATTACTCTTGGTGTTATTTGAGTGGTTCTGCTTTAAGTGACTGTTCAATACAGGTGAATGACAATACAGACAAGCCATTGGGACTTTGTCAAAGGTGACCCTAACTGCTCAATAGGGGTGATGTCTTAATAGAGGTGACAATTATAGTGATAAAGGTGAAACAAATTCAGAACTGTGGTAACCAACTGCTTGATATAGGGTGACCACTTGATACAGTACTGCTTAACACATGTTCTCCTTTATCATTTGGTACTTCCATCACCCCTAACAGCTTGTCACTAGGTCCCCACCTGGTGACTATGGCTGGCTTGTCTAAGACCTTTTGTTATCAGGCTACCATGATTGGATGTCAAACCTTTTGTGTGGTGGGGGTGCCACAAGGTTGACTTTTTCTGGCTTCTCCTCCTCAGCCACTATGATATATTCTCTCCAGAAGGAATTATGATTCTAAACAAAGCTCAGTCACATGTTCCTAGCCATGTATGCTTTCTCTTCATCACTTGGGTTGTGTCTTAGGCAAGGCTAGATACTGTACCTTAGCCAGCTACTTGTTGTTGGAGGACATGAGTAAGCTATGTTGTATAAAAGCTTTTTAGAACTGTGCTCTTCATATATCTTAGAAGAGTCAAGACCCTTCAAGCTTTCCTTTGATTCTTCTAAGAGTGCACTGTTGAATCTTGTTTTGAAGCTGTCAACTGCAATGCCCTGGCCAAAGCAGGAGCTGTTGGTGTTCTGTTTAGAGTGGTTACCAGCTGTGGTCACAAGAGGGTTATCTGTTTAAAGTAAGAATGCATTTTTACCTTTTAGCTCTTGAAACGCAGGTATATCATTTGGTTTTGCATTTTATTTCTTAGATCACCATCAGATCTTTTACAGAGCTATTTTGTTGTTCTTTTGTTTTTGAACAAAATTGGCATTTCCAAATTATGTGGACAGAGCCTGATAATTTACTAGTAAGAACAATTTATTAGAGGGTGTTACTCACATGTAATATAGTCAATTTTCACAAATGATTTCCTATTTTCTCTGTTTACATTGACTTTTAAATTAATGGCAGTTATTTTATCTTATTTTCCATGGTTTATTTTTAGAATAATCAGCTTTACATCTGTTGATTAGAATTGAAATTCATAACCCTTCTTCTCACTCCCAGCAGTGATTAAAACATTTAACTTTTTCCTCTAATATCCATACATTACCCAGTAAACAGGTAATAAGAATACTCAAACTTATCAGATAGAAGTTGTTTTCTTGATTTAACACCAAATTCTCGTTAGTAATTTACAAGGAAATGTGCAGCAGTAAGAGGGGAGAATTAACAATCAGATCTTGGGAGTTAAAGGGCTAAAGGCACTGCATACCTCACAGTAGCTGTCACAGTGCCCCTTCAAGAATTGGGGTCATATTTTTTCAAGAACTGAAATTGCTTTGTTTTCCTTTCGTTATTTAAGGTTGGTGTTGGAGATAATTGCTACCCTTGTAAAATCAAGTGAGTACTCCATTTTTTTTCATCAGTTAATCATATATTAAGTCATCTGATGGAATTGTTAGCCACCCTAAATCATTTGTAATTCAGATGCCATTATAAAGAAATATTTGAGTTCAATTCAAGTTATCTATGTCTGTTGTTCTTTGCATTCTTCAAAGTTGTTTGAACACAATGAATAACAACAACAATAATTAGATTTGTAATCCCTAAGCACTTTTTATGTGAAAGCTGCTTTGTTGTTGAGCTACATGTAAATGAATAACCTGATTTATTATTGTAGTTATCTTGCAATATTCCCTATGTCACAGTTGTTGCAAATCATTTTTATGAATTTTACAAGTTCAGACATCATAGGAATTTGATGTAGATAAGAGTGTAGTGCAACCAATATTGGTAATTGTGAAGAACAGCTCCCTGAAAATACCAAACAGTTACCTGAAAAATAAGAATCATTTTGATCCAGTGAAGTGTTGGTAAATTAATATACCCATAATACAGTCATGAAGTGTTAGCTGTTATAATTGTAATGTTGAGGCTACTATCTGCTCACCACAGATTACACTCAGTAGTCTGCTACAAAAAAATAGCAAGCTCTTTTGACTTCAAAGAGGCATATTTGTCCCATGAGGCATCCCTCCTTCAAAGAATGGTAGCACTTTTAAGTTTCTGTGCAGCAGATTTTACTAGACAGCTAAGCAGACTGAAAAAATTGTTAAGAGCTATTTAGTTACAATAAGGAACAGAGTTGGACTTGTTAATTGGGGATGGGGACTGCACACTCAAAATCTTACAATTTATCAAAGTTTTCTTTTTCAATTTAAAATTTTCTTTACTTAAAATATTCATACATGTATATACATTTTCTTGCCATTTATATATTTAGTATTAATAATATTTATATATTCAGGTTACTAACCTTGGAAATTTTGTAAGGAGAAATTCTGTCTTGGTCACTTATTGAAGTTAAAGAGCTAAAAAGTCTCTTTCAAATAAGATAGTTTACTACAGTTAAACATGTTTTAAGTGGTACTCTTTTAAGTGGTGAACCTGTTTTAAGCGGTCAGTTTCAAAGTTCCAAAAAATTTTCCCCTCAATTACTGTAATTTTCACCTCTATGAAGTGGCCACCTCTATTGAATGGTTGTGGTCACCTTTGACTGAGTCCCATCACCTGTGTTGAATAGTCACTTAAAGTGGAACCACTCAAATAAAACTAGGAATAAATTGTGATTCATGTCTATCTTCCAAAATCAATGTAAAGTGTATTTTTGAGCAAATTTTCTACATTATGTGGTCAATTATGGCATGAGATGGCATTTATTACCTTTTTAATAATACCTCTTTTCTGTGGAACCTTTAGTAAGCAGTCAATCTCTATTTAGCACTTAATACAGATTGGACTGTAAATTATTGGACAGTATAAACAACTGCCTTTACCATGTCTAAGCTTATGACAATATAGAAAGACTAGCAGAAAAGTTTTCTTCAGCAGAGGCTAAAAAACCAAGTAATCACCTTTGGCTGGTCTCTCTCTTTTTTTCTACAGAGAGCTGTGCATCAAAAGCAGTCAGCTATGGAGCTGTTCCACTGCTGTTACAAATGTTTTGTGATTGGCAAAGAACAGATCATCATCACAGACAGACAAACATCAGAAAAGCTATTCTGAATGTGATCAAGAATATCACCATGTCAAGTATGTTAACCTTTTACTCCCCAACCTGAGAATACATATTCTCCATACTGTTCTCATCATTTCATTAGTTATTAACAAGGAGAATTTGTTTAGCAATCAGGAATGTCTTGAGAGGGGTGTTCATTTCCCATATTCTCATAACCTTAATGGTTTATCCAGTTGTGATAATGTATGGAGAAATTAGATGCTAGATAGTCCTATGGGTTAAAGGGTTAATAGAGGAGACTACTGATTACATTGTTTGAATCTTTAAAATGTCAGAAGGTACACTGTGGTTGATAGATGTTGCTTCTTGAAAGACAAATTGTTCACCCCTGAAATGGCCAAAACATTGTGTAAATAAATAATAAAGTGATCACTTGATAAGGTGCAGATTTTATTTGTTTGGTTGTGCATGCTACAGTATTTGAGTGTTACAAAGAGAACTCATTAGTGTGCTAGCATCCTGTGCACTGCCAGGATCAATAATGTTGAAAGCAGTATGTGCATAACTAGATGAGATTTATCAGTATGGTTAAATTTCTGAATTTTAGGAAGTGGTAAGAAGGCGTTTATCCAAGCTGATGGTATTAAAACCCTGTACACTTTGTCACTGGAGACTTTGGAGTGTAAGTAAATTTTTATGTCATACAAAATGTTTTAGACTATGGTACATGCTTTTTATTACATTTTTACAGGGGATTCTTTTTTGTTCCATTTCAGGCCGCGAACTTGAAGGGGTAAACAATCTCAGCAGCCAGATTCTACGAAGATGTTTTCCAACTAACAAGCTTCCGTTGTCAACCTTATCATCACCACTGACATTTGCTCTGTTAGATTTAGACAGCGCTGGCCACTCAGCTGTAGAAGATCTACTGGATGATAGTGGGGAAGGTGATTACAATATGCGGGTTGAAACACTCTCTACTGTATAGTTAAGTCTAAGGCAGAGATGCCAACTTTGAAAATCTTTAGAGGTTTGACGTCAAATCACACCCAACCTTCATTATTTGCTGTAAGGTTATTTAACTTTTTTTTAGAATAGACATTATTTTATTAAAACAAAATTAGGTACTTTAATGTGGTAACCACCAGAAAACTTTGTCACTCCAACTAAAATTTTTGAGATTTCCTCAATTTTATAGATTTAAATTCTATTACACTAGAAATTCAGTGTCTTATGAGGAGTTGTACTTAATCCTATCAAGACACATAAGAAGTAATCTTATGATCAAGGTATTTACTCTGTATGTAGGTGAGTCTACTGATGTGGAATCAGAGGAAGAAGAAGATGACAGTGGTAGTGCAAGTCAAGATGATAAAGAAGGGCTTGAAAATGGCAACAAGGGTAAAAAGCCTGAGATTAATTCCTCAAATCAGAGCAAACAAGTCAAGACAAGAGATGATCTGGCTATGTATGAAAAGTACTTCCCAGAACTGTTTGAATTTCAGGTAAATAGTTGTGGTTTGAAAAGGCAACATTCATCTTTCTGCAAAGTTCACCAGTAAGCAGTCATCTTGTGTGCTAAAGCAGGTTCTCTTAGCTTGTGCCAAAACATGTGTAGTGTGGCGACTTCAAGATTATCACCACCAATTAGATCTGTTATCATATATTTGGAGTATATAATGTGGGGTATTTGCCAGCTGAGAGATCTGTTCCGTGAAAAAGTGCGACCAAGGACACAACATTTTTAAATCCTGGGTCACATTTTTTCACTTTACATACTGACTCTGATTTGGTAAATAGCTAATAATCTATATTGTTCCTCTGGGGAAAAAAAAAACAGAACAAGGCAAATTACTGGGTATTTGCCAAAGGCCAATTGAATAGGTTAAAGTGTTAGTGAGTTTATTGTTGACTGATCTCCTTTATATGTATACATGTACATTTAATTGCTTGTTAGTTTGGAGAATTTGGATTTTTATCAAATAAACACACTTTCAGATCAATGTCAGGTTCCGAGCAACTGCGCACCTACCTACCCCTCCCTTAACCAAACAAAAGCCCACTGATAGCAAGTTAATAAGGTTAATATCGGGTTTAGGGAGGGGTAGGTGCGCAGGTTTCTCAGACACTGACATTAATCTAATCTTTTTATCTATTCTCAACATCCGCTTGCCTGCTTGAAAAGCTGATGCAAGTATTGCCTAATCTTTTGATAACTTTGAAAAGTTTAAGGTTGATGTGTAATCATGCAAAATGTTTGTTGTTGTCATTCGTCAGGTTGAAGTTGCCGAGCCAATGGAAGATGACATGGTAACATCATCATATCCAATAGTAATTCCAACAGGTTCTGAAGAGCCCTTGTCCTGCTCGCCAACCGGACCAAGCCATCTGTCAAACCAGCTTGATTCTATGAATTTTGAAAGGTGGGGACATACTGCAGAGTTAAATAAAAATTAGGTCGAAAGTAGGGAGCCTCAGAAGATCATATTAGTTAAAGCGGCATGAAGGATAAACAAATCGAAATGTTGTAGAGGTGTAGGAAGGGAAATTTTGATTTAAAAAATAACGTTGAACATCAAGAAAGAAGTTTTTTTTACGAGCTTAGGAAAAGGAAAAAACTCTGATTACCCATGAGGAATCGACTCTCAGATTTACGTACTCCGCGCTCCGATGCTCTACCTCTGAGCCACAGAAACTCTCTATCACATTTGTTAGATGTAATTTATAAGAAATTTGTTTTTTGTCCGGGTCATATTTAGGGCGTGCACTCAGGTTAAAACATTTAACACAAGTGTTTTTATTTTACCTAAATTCGTCGCAAATAGTTGACGTTTGGTATATTGCTTAAGACATAATGAGATGTATACATTGACCAAAGCACACTGAGTGTCAATAAGTAAGGATTACCCCTCTCCTGTAAAAACCAGTGAACAGTGTTCAGATACTTTCAACCTTATTACTGAACACGGTAACAACGGAGAAGGCCGCCTCAAAAGCCCATTTAACCGCATGTGTTCACGGAAGTAAGAAACGAAAAAAAATTTAATCTCGGCTAAGCTTTAGATATGACTTTTGTTTATGTTGCTACAGTCCACCAACTTTGACACAAGCCACAGCGACACAAGAAGAGCTTACTCAGGAAGAGAGATCTTCATCCGCGAATTTCACCGCTAAGGTTGATAACAATGGTACCTTTGAAAGTGTGCTGCCAATCGTCAAGACACCATCACCTGATGTGTACGGCCATTATCCACCGTCCGAGCCTGAACCACTGGGACAGAAAAAAACTGGACTACAGAGGTACAGGGCTTATCCAAATTGTTAAACGTGATTTCAAATTCTTAAAGAGTGCAAATGGTTTGAGATACTAGTCTTTAAAAATGTTTGTGGGAGGACGAATCAAATGGCGAGACAGAGAGCATTTCATAGTCTAGGATTGGAATGATTAAAAAGACGGGCAGCTTACGGACTAAAAACTGTTTGTTTCGCACTCGATTTAAAGGTCGGGGTGGACTGTGCCTAAGATAAAAAACAGTCGCGACCCAGTCCCCTCCTGTGCCTTTACTTCTTATCCACGCTAGTCGGACCGTACAAGAAATAACAGACTCTCAGAAGTCTATGCCACTTGAGAGAGCGCGTAAAAAACAATCTCCTTAAAGTTCTGAGTCACATGTACGTCGGTATTTTTTGGTTGTTGTTGTTTTATTTTTACGATGTTAAAAGTACATTTAACTCGAGCAAGATTGAAAAATACCAGTTTAGTAGGATATGACATATCATCGAGACTATGACGATCCAAAAGGGAACCGGGATTGTTTAATATGGTGATGTTAACAAAGAGATTCCACGTTCCCCTGCGTGTGTTTAGTGAATATATCACGGATGACATCAAACTGTTGTAAGAACAAGAAAGTGGCTCACGGCGCGCAGTTGAGTGTGTTTCTGGTGAACTTACTACATTTTTACTTCATCTGTGATATATTAATATCTATATGATAAATATAGCCTTCATTCGGCGCGAAAATATACACTGATATTTGTCCGCTGACATTACCTGTTCTAAGATGCGAACAATTTTCCGTGAGCGAAGCTCGAGGAAAACTGAAAGCTTCGAGGAACAGATTATGTTTATGGACAAATATACGAGCATATTTTCGCGCAACTTGGAGGCTATTGTGGTTATTATCCTTCAAATATTTTGCAACGTGTGTGAAAAATGTTTACGAACAGCTTACTGCGTGGGATGTTTTCCTTTGAGTGTTTTCTGGTACGATTATATGAACAAATGAATATTTCCTTCTTCTGTAACAAGCATAAAACGCTCTCTCTTGAATTAAATTTTAAACGGAGAATTATCGTAGTAGAGGTAAGGTTTGAAAATTATACTTGGATATTTCCCAGTTTTAGATGGGGAATATTTGATCAAGTGATGCGTTTAGACCATTCACGCACGAGCAAAAATATTTGATGGATCATATACTGGATTGTACATTCATTTTGATTGGTTCTTATGATCAAACATACATACGTATACACATGTAGATTAGATGACGGCACCATCAACAACATTTTGCTTTCTCTATCTTGTAACACAGTCAAACGGATTCCGTGTTGCTGTGCGTTTGTTCACTATGAGATAACAGATGACGTGGTCATCATGGAAGTGGTAAAAAGAGGCGCAGTAGAGTGTGTCAATAACGTTCTTACCACACTTAAACGTCTTCTTTGATCTTACAGACGCACGGCAATATAGAACCCACTACTCATTTTTTTTTTCTTTTTTTTTTTAATTTTTGCAAACGAGGCATTGTTATCTTTTTATCCCGGCCTTGCCAAGATGACATTGATCCATCTGTGCTAACGTTGCTTGTTGTTTTTCAGAACTATGATCTTTAGGGACATTGCACGACAGATTCATCCACAGAGAGTGATAAACAAAGTTGTATTTGATCTGGATCAGCTTTTAAGACGACCTGGTGACCCTGGAGGAGCACATGACAACGGGTTATTAGCTGTGGCTAAAGAGCAACTCAAATTAGGACATGCACGGAAACATAGCAACTCCAGGTTTATACACAGAATAAACGCTTGTCTCATTTGTCAGTTTAATTTTTCAATGTGTGAATCAATCTTCTTCAAACTTAAACTTTCAAGATACAAGTTGTAATTCGCCCAGTTCTGACCACCATGGGTCTCCTCTCAAATCAGTTTAGAAAGTTAGGTGTTTGATCATGATAACACCTTCTGTTGTTAAGCTTGTTTGTTGTCATCGCCTATTTTGTGGTTGTTGTATCGGGATTGCGAAAATTTACTGACCATTTGACCCCGAAAACTCCGTTCAAATGGTCATGATAGTTGATGATAGTTTCAACCACCACACGCGTTTAAACACGAATTATCATGCACTATCATCGACTATCATTAAGTATCATGTAGTTTGGACGTGTTCAAATTCGAAATGATAATTGATGATAGTTTTTCGGTCCATAGTTTTGCCAACAAACGGGCTCAAACCGAAATGGCAAATGGTAAAATGACTGAAGTAGCCGTCAAAATTTCGCAGAATGTCTCCTAAGTCATTCTTATCATCTCCTGGTAGGATTCAGCATCTTTAACTCGCAGCCTCTTGACTAAAATTTCATTTGCCACCAAAATTTCTGAGCGTACAATATTTGTTTACAATAACGCGATCTTCTTGCGTGAGTTTGTCAACTATCACCAACTAACATGAACTGTTTGAACGCAAACATGATAGCGAATGATAGTTAAAACTATCATCGACTATCATCAACCATCGTGACCGTTTGAACGGGGCTTAAGAGCGATATGCATCTGATTTCTCCTACAGTATCACTTTGAATCAAACATTAAGGTCATGAGAATAAAGGAAATGATCGCAAACTCAAGAAGGTCTTGATTGTGAGACAAATTCTCCCCGAAAGTACTATGACAAATAAATAGAGAACAGTATGAAGAACTTACATACTGATGTTAGGATGTAGAAAATCAACCAGTGGATTTGTTTTTGCAGCATCTCTGAAGGAGAAAGATCCACTCCTGAGGAGACGGCCAGACCGCTGAAGTTTGAATCACGGTTTGAGAGTGGCAATCTACGCAAGGCCATTCAGGTAGTTATTGTGATTTTAGGTGCTTTAGTCGTGAAATTGGAAATTTTGTCGATGTGTGACGTTTTGGCTTTCCAATTGTGAATAATCCATGACTCGACTCGACAATACCCAAGACACTGTAACGCTCCAGGGCTTTGAGACAGGGCTTATTGGCGAGGAATTCTTATTAGAGCGTGTTTTTTTTGGGGGTGTCTACCTGGCTTCAATATAAACTAATAGTTTAGTTTTTGGTTTTAGGGGAGGAGAGGAGGGGGGCTTATTGAGAGGGAGATTCATTTGTTCGTTTAACCATATGAATTTTAAGAAGTAATGAACTAGCCTATGAATGATCGAACATACTTGCCTTTTTCAACACATCTTATTTCGTAGGTGCGGGATTATGAGTATGATCTGGTTCTAAATCCTGATATCAACTGTAAACACCATCATCAGTGGTTTTATTTTGAGGTGGGTTCTTGCCCTCTTTTCATTGCGTACGACACAACTAACAGTTCCATGTAGAGGAAGATGTTTTTTCGTTTTGTCACGAGCGTGGGACAAAGATAATAGTCCGAGTCCCTGTAAGGAATCGAACCTCAGACCTTCGGATTCCGTGCTCCGATGCTCTACCACTGAGCCACAGAGACTCTATGGTGAGCAAGGCCCATAACGAAGTTCATATATGACACGCGTCCTACATATTGCTAGGATCAGCAATGTCGTTAGCGTCATGCTTTGTAAATAGAATAAGAAAGATGGCAAGTTTTGAGCTCGGCAAAGAGATAGAAATCCTAGCAATATGCGGATGCTGATCCTAGCAGTAGTCCGATTCCTTCTGGGGAATCAGAATTTTTTTCTTTGTCCTACACTCGTGACAAGACGGAAAAACATATTTTTTTATTTCTTTACCGGGCTCAAAGCTTAGCATCTTTCGAATTCTACTTTCATGTAGTTACAGCACTCTGATCGCCGGTATGAAAAGAGATAGACTTTGTCGAACGGACCATTAATAAGTGAAGGGAGAGGGTGGGTGTGCAGAACTTTCACTTGGTATCCGGTACACTTCTTTCTGTATAATTTTGTCGGTAATATTTATTGTATGAAGTTTATGCCGCTGGGAAATTCTTGTCAGGGCTGGGCCGTCTGTGGTGTTCTTTTTTTTTCTTTACTTAACTCACTATCTTCATTAAAACCATCGCTAATGGTCCTTCCCAATAGATAGGTGATGGGATTTGTTAAGAAAGACACTATGCCTTAGAAGGTTAAATAATCAATAGCCTCTATTTGGCGCAAAAATCTACTCGAATATTTGTCCACGGACATCTGTTACGAGATGCAAGAAGTGAGTCTACGGGGAACGGATAATATTTAAGGAAAATTATACGAGCATATTTTAGCGCCAACTGGAGGCTACGCGCAGGGAAAATTGTTTACGAACAGCTTACCGTTTATTGCGTGGGATGTTTACTTTCCAGTGTTCTCTGGCAAGGCTTTATGAGCACAAAAACATGTGTGTTCTTCTGTTACAACAGCTAAACGCCCTCTGATCTTGAATTACTTCTGACACGAAGACTTTTATCGTAGTGGACGTACGGTTTGAAAACTGGTTAATATCACTTGGGGAGTATCACCGGATATTCCTCAGTTTTAGTCGGGACGTATTCGGTCGCATGACCCATTTAGACCAATCGCGCGCGAGAAAAAATATTTGATGTATTACAATTGTGGATATTGGCCCTTCAAGTCTGTGCGTTTCTCTTCATTTCAGGTTAGCAATATGGATGCTGATATTCCTTACAAATTCAACATCGTTAATTGTGAGAAGATCAATAGTCAGTTCAACTTTGGTAAGTTGGTTTTTATGAGTAATAGAATTTCCATTTATTCGTGTAGGCTTTTCGTGACACTGATTGTTTCTTATGTTTTCTTCAAACTTTTGGCGGGAAGTTGGCGTACGTTGGCCGGTGTATCGCAGTCAGAAGGCCATCCGACCAAAAAATCGGTGCTCGCTGGGGTTGCAAAACTCACGAAGTACTCAGAAAGCTTAAGATGTTTCTTAAATTATGGAGAGCGCATTTCGATTTATTGTCGAAACGAAAACCAAAGTAACCGTAAAAGCTAATCAGAGGAAAGGAAAATGTAACAAGAAGCCAATGAGAACGCAGAGTCAAAATGGGCAAACGGCTTAAAGCGCGGGAAAACGCGGGTGACTAAGTCGTGGTTGGTTTTAGTTTTGAATCTGATTGGTTTAGAGGATAGCGCAAGCTTTGGACTCATCACAGAGCGACGTAAAGTAAACCTCAGCAATCCGGAATTTGAAAATTGCTTTGTAACTTGAAGATGATTTTTGGGGACGTGATTCTGTTCTTGCAGGCTACAAACCTTTTTTAAGACTTAGTACGATTCCATAGTCGGGATGACATATGCATGGTTCCTCAAGGAAATGGTCTTGGTAACCCAATACTTTGTTCGCTATTGTAGGTATGCAACCAGTGATGTATTCCACATTAGAAGCTCAGGAAGACCGCGTCGGCTGGGTTCGAGTCGGGACTAATGTTTGTTATTATAGAAATTACTTCACACGGAGCCGTGAGGTGACTGGTGGACCGACCGGCAAAACCTACTACACGTCAACTTTCACCGTGACCTTCCCTCACACAAATGATACATGTTACTTCGCTTATCACTACCCCTACACCTTCACTATGCTTCAGGTAGGTCTTCCCATGTTACGTTGTCATCTTTCTGTGTCGAGGTTTGTACAGTGTCTGGAGTTTTTGAAGAAGTTCGGAAATCTTTCAGTTAGTTTTCCATGAAATATAAGGCCGGATAAACATCTGAAAAACTTCACTTAAAAAATCTAGAATGTTTTTTTATTAACAGAATGTTGCTTATTGAATGAAATGTTAGTCGTCTAATCGCATCTCTTTGACAAAATTTTTTAACAAAGTTTGAGAGACTTCTTCGGTTTAATCCGTGAATCTGCCATCATAGATATTAGAACACATTTTATCGTAGTTTATGTGTGTTTGTGCCGATGTGTTTTTAAGTAACCACGGAGAAGTGTTGAATTTCGCCTTAAAAACGTTTTTTGTAAATCTAGCCATAAGACTCTTTATATCCTTCCTTCACCTCAAAGAAATCAAGACTAGAAAATGATATTCCGTTTTGGGTACCTTATTCTTTTTATGTAGAGTCACTTATCACGCTTGGAGTCCGGTTTTAGTACAAACGATATCTTTTACCGCCGCTTGACTCTGTGCAGCACTTTGGCGGGAAATCCTTGTGACGTCATCACCATCACGGCACAGCCTCGGGGCAGAGATGCAAAATCCATTGAACTTCTGAGTAAGTGATTTGCGCCGTTCCTTGTATTGGACAAAATTTTAGGTGTTGTTTTTAAAGGCTCGATCTTTACTTCATACGTTTTAGGGAACAGGCCATATATTTTCCTCACAAGCCGTGTTCATCCCGGCGAAAGTAATTCAAGTTGGGTCATGAAAGGTAACGCGATCTTCATATGGTAAATTACATTCATTATGTGTTATCTTTTTTATTATTATAATGTCGAATCCTTCAAACAATGGTTTTAATAAAACCTGCGATTTATCGCCGCGTATAAGATCTCTTACCGCTGTAACGGGCCCTTTACAGGCACAGCAGCCCATAAAGACATCGAAACCCTGCCTTAAAATGACCGAAGTGAAATAAATTGATTGTTCAGTTCGGGATAGTTATCAAATTTAATAACCCGGACCAAAACAAAACAGTAACCAATCGCTGCTCAGATTCACTTTCACGTGACATGTTACTGAGACAACAATAATGTATTCAACAGGGCGTCCGAAGGCCGAACAACACTGAGTGTTCTAAACCGATTGTTTTCGACTGGCGTCTTCTTCTTCTTTCTCAGTCTCAATAATTTTCATTCATATTATTTTACTTACTTGGTGGACGGCGAAGCGCCCAGGTTTTTCAGCGCTTGTCTCGGTACGTTCCAACTGTATATCTGTGCAGAAGAAAAAAGTTTATTTTCAATGATGCTGCTACTTCATTAGAGAATCGTCCAAATAACAAACGGCTACAGCCCATGGGCGAAAAGAAAGATGAAATCGTAGCGTATTACCAGCGCGAAATCGTGTAAATGGGAGGATTGCTTTAAATAAAAGCTTCTCGAAACATGCGAGATGTTGGAGAATCCATACTGCTACTCACTTAACGTTCCTCCACGGCCGCATCCACTCCTTCCTCTTCCATTTCTGATTTGACCGGTGAAAGCCTTCTCGAGAGATATCTCTCGCTGCAATCGAATGGTAGATTACAAAAGTGCAGATTGAAACCTCTTCTGGGCCAGGAATACTTAAGGCAAGGGGAAATGTATGGACAGAATGGTGAACCAGCTACTGAATCTATTACCGACACAGCAGAGTGAAGAATTAATGTGTCTCCTTCACTTGCAAACGTGCTTGGTCTTACTCCAACTTATTGTCATCAAGGAACACCAACAGAGAATGAAAATATCCAATTAAGAGTAAAATTCCCTCACCTTGAAGAACTTTTTTTTCCTGACCATTTCCTGACTTGTGGCAATTAAGATTAAGTTAAATCTGTACTCAAGCCAAGTTGACTATCCAGCAGGAACTTATCCTTTGCATGAAGTGACAGTGGGCTCTCGTTTGACAAAGAATTAGTTTGGTTTTGGTTAATAGGATTCTCTTCTGGCAGTAACAGCACAATGAAAGGAACTATCATTGTTTCAAAAAGGTTTCCTTGCAAACTGAGTAAAGTGCAGTAATAAGAAATCGTAAGTTAGACAACAATGTTCAAATTATGACAAACAGAAAGATTAAAACCATCGTCGAAAACACAAAGTGGCGGTTGGCGACTGATTAAGTGGTAAACCAAGACCATCCCATGCACTTTTTTCCTGCAGTTTGCATCGCGATAATTAACAGTTGCGTCGAAAGAAAATGGATTTAAGAACAGCTCGATATTTTTTTTTGACACCTGGAAAATTCATCCTCTAACCTAAACTTTGAGGCAAAGCTTTTTGAAAAAGGTATCTCAATCAAACGTGTCATTTCAACTGTCCAGTTACTTCTGCGCCCAAAATGTCGCCTCTATCACCCCATGATGACCACCATCTTGAGAACGCGCGAAGAGCGGTATCTATTCACTAATTTCCAATATAATTATTGATATATATACGGCGATTAATAACAAATAAACAGCGAAAATTTCGAATTGGGTACGAAAATCTTCGATTCCCGAAATGGTCGTCATGTTTTGACGTCACGTGGTTATCAAATCTGATAACTATCCCGGACTGCTTTTTGCAAAGACAAAAAGTAACGTTCATAAGGGTCCAAATTCTCGTTTCCGTATGGCATTCGGATACTAGGAGATTGAAAATTATGCAATTCATACGAACAAAAGGAGTCGATTAAAGAGGAGATTCACAGTTTAATTGCACCAAAAATTGCGCTACCAAAACGTACTTTGCTTCACCTTGAAACTTTTTCTTCAAACTGAGTAACCGCTGTAACTTGCTCTTCTGAGATCAAGACTAGTTAGTCGGCTTTTTTAAATTTTTTTAGACTCAATATTGATATTAACTTTTATCTGTTAGCCAGCTCATGCTATGTGTGACTCTACGGCATTTTTTGTCTTACGCAGTATTGTTTTCTTATACAGGAGTTCTAGACTTTTTAATGAGCAACTTCTACACTGCACGTCATCTGCGGGAGACTTTCATCTTCAAGATTGTACCCATGCTTAACATCGACGGAGTCATCAATGGCTGGTAGGGTCTTACTCTTGTAGAAATTTAGCCGCTGTCCTTCCGTTTTATTGTTCAACGATTTTTTTAATATGATTATTTCGTTCACTTATACAACAATTCTAAACGAGGGAATCAGTGTCTTTCTTATGAATTTTTAGCCATGAATGATATCTGATGTGTGCAGTATTGTAAGAAATTTTTCTCAGTATTGCATTTTCGACCAATTCTATTGGCACCGTCAACTATTCTCCCTACCCACCCACCCACCCAACCCACCCACCCACCCAACCCACCCACCCACCCAACCCACCCACCCACCCAACCCACCCACCCACCCAACCCACCCACCCACCCAACCCACCCACCCACCCAACCCACCCACCCACCCAACCCACCCACCCACCCAACCCACCCACCCACCCAACCCACCCACCCACCCAACCCACCCACCCACCCAACCCACCCACCCACCCAACCCACCCACCCAACCCACCCACCCAACCCACCCACCCAACCCACCCACCCAACCCACCCAACCCACCCAACCCACCCACCCAACCCACCCACCCAACCCACCCACCCAACCCACCCACCCAACCCACCCACTCAATCCCTCCCACTCAATCCCTCACTTCCTCATGATCCATAAGGAGAAACTTTATACCTGTAAATAACCTTGCTCTGTAACAATACAATAATGTGAATCTTTCGTGAAGTTAATTCATTAATAGAACTAAATAGAGTTTCCTTTGATGAAATACAGACTTTTTTTAATGGAGATTTTACCCTTGTTCTTTACGATAATTTTGTTGTACCTTTTTTGCAGCCACCGATGTTCTCTGTCGGGTGACGATTTAAACAGGCGCTGGATCAATCCCAGCATGCTGCTTCACCCCACTATTTATCACGTGAAAGGATTGCTGTTGTACTTACAGTCTATTGAAAAGACCCCTTTGGTGAGTAGCATTTGCTTGTAGCCGTGAGACAGATCAATTGTGCCGAACCTAGGTTGTGTTAATCCCGGCTACTAAACAATTATGAGCTGTTATATGATCATGTTGTTTTATTCTTTTACTAAGAAGACAGAGTTTAATATGCATGACTTACATGGTGTACCATCTTGGACAAATGAGAGGAACACAACAATCATTTCTTCCTCTCCCCAGTTCATAGTCGACAAAAAGGTGCGATTTGGTCCTCGCGCTTACTCATCATTCTCTCTTTTTTTCTCCTGAGCAAAATCGAAGCTGCTCTCAGATCGACTACATTTTCCCTCGACAGAAGCTCTTCTTAACTCTTTTATTCCCTTAGAGTGACTAGCATCTAATTTCTCCGTACAGTATCACTCTCGATTCACACATAAAGGTCACGAGAATAAAGGAAATGATCACCAACTAAAGAAGCTCTTGATTGTTAAATAAATTCTCCTTGTCGACACCATAGGAAGGAAATATACAAAGAACAGTATGGAGAATATGCGTACTGATATTAGGGTGTAACAGGATTAAATCCGCCTCTTGTTCTTCTTCTTGTAGGTTTATTGTGACTTCCATGGTCATTCACGTAAGAAGAACGTATTTATGTATGGCTGCAGCACAGCTGCCACACTGGCTGCCAGTTCGTCTAGTTCTGGTGAAGTCGACAGTAGTGACTTGGTAGATTCTGTCAGGGAACGTGTAGCTGAACTATCTGGCTCCGAATCCACCAGTAGCATGGACCCGAGTGACATAGAGGAAGATCCCGGATATAGGGTGAGTGTAAAAAAAAAAAAAAAACATACTTATCAACAAAACCTTTTTCCTGGGAGCTTGGAAGATGACAGAGATACTAGAGACACGCCCTGTGAGCATTGGACTTTTGCAACGATCGAAGTTAGGTCTTCGATACTCATGAGAAGGAAGCTCTCATTCTTCTCAGGTAGCATGGGCTCATTTCCCGATCAGCAGCTTATGATCTAGGCGAAACTTTACTTTTCTTTTCAGTAGTAGCCCTTTGCGAAATGATTGGTAAATATTTGCATATGCTGCGAGTTTTTTCTTTCTCGCACAAATGGAATCATAGGATGATGATCATATCGCGGACTCTCGTGTTCGGTTAGCATCGAACTGAAGTCATTATTTCTCTTAGTTAGTACGTGTGCTTCACTGTACGGCCCACTAATTAAAAAGTTTCGCTTCGCGCTTGGGTCATAAATCTAAGTGGAAAAACTTGATCCGTAACTTTCAGTGCGGACTTCGAATTCGGTTGGTAGGAGGTACTAAGTTCAGGGGAAAAAAGATGCTGGAGAACGAGTACTGAAATCAAATGTAAAATAATGAGTGAAATTTTTGAATAATAGTCTTGCGAGACTCTACAATTACGTTCGTGAATTTTAGGTTATCAAACTTTCTACAATGTTAGCGGCATTAAAGAGCTGTGCAATATAGGTGGTTTTCTTAAAAGTGGCACTTGGCAGGTTTTTAAAAGAGAATCTTTTTGATTTCGGAATTATCATTCCGTTTCTATGTCCTCTTCGTCATGTTTTGGCGTCCTCTTTTTTATTCTCTGCTTCTACTCTCTGGAGAAGATCTTATTGCAATGAGCGGCTAGTTTTACCCTTCCAAAAAGCATCTTGAAATATCACCAAGGAACTCTGTTAACGAAGCACTTCTGCCGAACAAGCTGACTATTTCTTTTATTTATGCAGACATTACCTCGAGTTCTTCACAACATTGCACCAGCGTTTTCGCTGGGCAGCTGTAGTTTCATTGTGGAACCGTCCAAAGAATCCACGGCCAGAGTTGTGGTGTGGAGAGAGATTGGAGTGGTCAGGAGTTATACCATGGAGAGTACATACAGTGGCTGTGATCAGGGACCTTATAAGGTTAGTTCTCATTGGATAAAGCTAGTGTGAAAAACATAAAAACACAAATTGAACAGACACTGTTGTGAATGTTACTGGGTGGAACTAGAACACCTTTGGTCCCGCTTTTTCGAAGGGTAGATAATATTATCCCGTGGATAAATCTCTGTTCAGTGGATGGCGCGGTATTTTTTATTCACACTTATCTGTTCGATAACGTTATCCTCCCTTTGAAGAACTGGACCCTTCTCTATAACTGCTGTCAGAGTCGGATTTCTCTCTGTTTTTAAGTTGAGAGAAGGAAGTTTTCATTCAGTCAGGGAGTTAGTTAGTTAGTTATTGAGTTAGTGAATGAGTAGGTGAGGGAGTCTCTCAGTGAGCCAGTCTGTCTGTTCGTCAGTCAGTCGTTGAGTGAGTCAGTCGGTGAGTTATTCAATCAGTCAGTAATTCATTGAGTGAATCAGCCTGTTAGTTAGTCAGTTAGTTAGTTAGTAGTTAGTTAGTAAGGCAGTCAGGGAGTCAGTAATTCAGTCAGAGAGTTAGTGCGTCAGGTAGTCACTTGGTGAATCAGGCAGGCAGGTAGTCAGAGTTAGTTTGTCAGTCAGCAGGTCAGGCAGTCATTTTGTCACTGAATAAGTGAACGAGTCTGCCAGTCAATCCGTTTGTTAGTCGGCTGTGAGTCAGTCATTGAGACAGTGAGTACTAAAAATCAACACGTTAATCTAACATTTTTGTTTAAAGGGTTACCACGTGGGAACAAGAGAACTGGAGGAAATGGGCCGTTTCTTCTGTGCCGGGCTTCTCCGTGTTGGACGCTCCTACTTCTATCAAAACAACCAGCAACAATCGCCATCAAACGACAATGCAGATGTGATGCGTAATGCTGATAGTTCGTGGTGAGTTCCTCGCGTGAAACCTCTCCACAATTTTAGCTCCACGCGCGGTGTATCATAGTAGAAAGCAATTTTTAATTATTTCTATGACACCTTTTACATGTACTTGTCTCACTGTTAGTTGAAAAAACAAACAACAACATAAAAAACGAAACGTTTTCACGAGGCCGTTTATGTTTAATTTGAAAATATAAGTTGTTGCAAATTTCTTTTTGAGCTAATGTGGAATTTCTTCTTTCCCTAAGGATAAGGACAAGTGAGCTGTTTGTTCCCTGTGAACTCGTCACAAGTGGAGTTGTCGTTTGATTGTAATATAATTCTTGAAAACACATACTAGAAGAGCAGCAGTCAAGCGTCGGCGCGTGTGTAAACGTTGTAGTGACTGGGTGTTGTACTTTCAGGCTGTAAGAACCAGGTTGTCTCACACGAGTTACAAACAACCACATGAGCCAGTAAGTCACGGTGTTTCACAAGCTTAGAACATTTTTGGTAAATCTCAAAACGGAATGGTAAATCAATAAGATACCTGTACTTGAATTAGGTTTGTGTTCGAAAAGTCTCGAGTTTTCCTTCTGCCCACTTTTGTTTCCCTTCACAGATTTGAACGTTTCAATTGTCTGTCACATAGTTTGCGAGACGCGGTTGTTTCTTATGTTTCCCTTAAAATTTTACGCGGGAAATTGGCGCGCGGGCGGCCAAAATTGTTCCCCTCGCGCATGCCCTAGATTTGATGGCAGTGTTATGCTCAAATACCTAAGGAATTCACGTGACTATTAGTTGAACGGTGAAATTAGAGGTAATTTGAGCAGTGAAAGGTAAATATTGAACAGATTTAACTATGAAATTCTAGTTTTAGCCCCGCATAGACAGGACGAACTGTTTTAACTTAAGAGGCTGAGGAGTACCAATGCTCAAGACAAATTTAAGCTCGTAGACCTATGTCCCACTGACTCGTTGTGCGACCTTGAATGACATCATGGGAAGGGTCAGGACTTCCCAGAGTCGTCTCGGTCCTTATTCTTTATTTATAAACTATATAAACTAATCTAAGGATGAAATTAACAAATAGAAAAGTAATATATATGCCGTGAGTAAAGCCAACTGTAAACTGTGCTCCAAAGGGAAATGTTGGTCAAAAGGTATCATTTTAAACCCGTATTAATTCGCATCTTTAGTCTGGACAACTGCACTGGTATGCGAGAAGAGCCAGTGAATAAGTATTTATATCAAAGAGATTTTGAACCAAATTTACGTAAACAGCATAAAATTTAAACTGATAAGTGATTTAAAATTAGAGTTTACAGCTATTTGTTATTACTGAATGCTAATTAATATTTGGATTGATGTATTAAATTTATACACTGTAGTTTATTTTTATAACATGTAAAAGTGAACTTTGTTTATGTCTGTCAACATTGTAATCTTTGGTTATAAGTAAATTTTTAGAAGAGACGTTATTATCATAAAAGAATGTATTTGTCCATGATTATTTCTGAAAATTAGACGTTGACTTGTCAACCAAAAGTCGATTTTATTTTGTTCATAGGCGTCTGTGTACAAGAGCCCTGTTTTTGTAGCCTTTCTGTCAGGGTGCCAATTTTCAAATTGTTTGTATATGGCGAATGTGATTACTTTTTTTTGGGGGGGGGGGGGAGGGTGCATTTATTCTTGGCAAGCTTGAGCCTCAACAATGTCATGTAACACAATATTTGTTATTTTTAAAAGTAAGGGCGGAAAATTTTCACGGGTACTCGGAGAGTTCAACGTAATCCAAATATGGCGTCTGTTGTGTCAGGCGAGACGCCAAAATTATCAAGGTAGTTTTTCTTTCCCGTCGCTCCATCCTTGATAAAAAAAAAACACCATTAAAAACCTAATCCCAGTGGAAGAGGAAATGTGGGTAAAAAGGAAAGGGCCTCTAAGTCTTAAGGGTGACGATGACAACAGTCCCAACGATCGATAGTTGCTTGATCAGATGTACCAGTTCGTTTCATATCAATTCGTAATTCGTGAACGGCACAAATGAGCAGCTTCTGGAATAAGAGTTCTCAAGGCTCGCTCTTATTTAGGTTTATTTAAATTGCAGATCAAGCGATACAATTTTTTTCATTCACCACCTGGATAGGCCTGAAGATGTTGCATAAGGTGCGCATATTGAAATCGTGCAAGTGCCTTCATCCAATTGGAAAGTGGCCGAACAAAACGGTTCTTTCGTCTGTAACGTGTTTCGTCGACACTGATGCAGATTAGAAAAACAGCAGCGAGTTTTTAACTCGAAGTGCTTGCGGAAAATAAACAGAAGCATATAACCTAGGTTAATAGCTTGTGAAAGGACAGTTCAAGAAAAATGTTTTAAATTCAAGTTCAGTTAAGTTCGATTTAGTGTTTCTCAAATTACAACTGTTCGCAGCTCTCTATTGAACTTCTTTACTCGAGTTGAAAATCTCTCTAAAACAAGGCATCCTACTTCGTTCTATAGTTGAACGAATCAGACCCGAAGAACTCAGTGTCGATTATTTTGAACCCGCCTTTTCCAAGAAGGAAAACTCATTTGAATAACAAATAATTTTCAAAATTAATATTCGTATTTTCGCTCGGTCTTGCACGTGGAAAGAGCTTATGAACTGCAAGAAATTCGAGCGTCTATTTTGCCTTCTATGGAGTCGAGAAACATAATTTCGACCCTATTACCTTGGATATTATCTGTACTGTCCACGTCGGCGAGCATTTCTTGAGCTGGAGCAAGTGGCCGAGATATCATGTAAATGATTCATGCTTCACACTTTGTCAAGACGTTTCTTCAGGTAAATAACTTATGAAGAAATACAGTTGGACAGAAATATAGTTTATCTTTCTCGTTGTAGCCCTTGATTTAGAGTCAAACGTAGAAGGAGGAGCGTAATGCATACGGCACAGTGTAGGACAGCCGTCATAACAGTTCCTCTTGAACGTAACTTTCGTGGCAACGCGAGAAATTACTTATCGCTTATTTCTCTTTTCATTCCTATACATATTTCAACCAGCTTTTCTTTTATGATTATAGTGTGTTGAACTGTAAAAGTGCTTTATGCGTACGTGTTCTTTCTACGCCCTCCAACCTCGCCAAAGAAGGAGACCATCATCGCACTCATTTCACCCGAGGGAAATGTAGTAGCTCTAAATAAGTTTTTCGATCCAGACGTCGACGTTTCGTATTTAGAACGAAAAGCACTCTGGTATGAACGTACTCATAATATATTTGTCTCTTCTTTTTCCCATAGGACAGTAACAAGAAGAAAATGAGACAACCTCGAAATCAATAAAGTCAGTCATGGAAGAAAAGAAATTCATGGCAACTTCTAACAAGGTTAGATTAATGGCTTTTTATAACGAATTAGCTATCGAGGTTTATTCGTCTGCATTGTGGAACAATTTAACCTGGATTTAGCAAATGTTTGCAATTCGACACTAACTCAGGCAATAATGAAGAAAAACTGCAAATTAAAAAATGAATAAATTTCTTCACTGTCTGATTTCTTGGATCTCTTTCTGATTGAGGTGGCTTTCGGTTATTTTCAGCAGTGTTCGTTAGTTAAATTTATTCTTCCATAAACACTTTTAATCTTTTTGATCAGTGTCAAAGAAATACCTTGTTACTATTGTGCATGTTACGACTATCTATCTATCTGACTTACCAAGTTACCATAGCAACGGTTTGCCAATCAAATCACCACCAAGGTCTAAGATTGATGAATAATTGTGTAATGACATCGATCATCCAACTTTTCCTGGATATTTTTAAAACGATTATTCGCTAGGAAACTGTAGACATTTTATAAGGTATAAGTCTCTGACCTTGCATTTTTCATATCTGCCCAGGGGCTCATCCAAGAGCTTGAATTTGTCGAATATTGCATTTGAATTCCTGCTGGTACCAAAACTCTTTTCGAAATCTCGGATAACCTTTTAAATTCATATATTTTTTTTTTTGCAAAAATGAATCTTTTTTCAATTTAGACAGTTAACCTTACTAGTCTAAATGTCATGACGTCGAGTCTTCAACCAAATTAAAAGTGTATACTTTTATTTTCTATGGCAAAATTCTTCCTGCGTTTGTAACCAAATTATGTAGATTTTTTTGGACGCGATTTAAGAGACCATCGAGCCTAAGTGCTAAAACACTGTCTAAGCTTTAGAGGCTAAAACCAAATTGTAAGGGTATGTTCCAAAATTGATTTTTGTTATAGCCTCTTGAGTTTATTATCAACAGACATAGATCTTTTCGACATGATCTCAATAAAAATCGTAGAGGCCAGTTTTTTAAAAATGTATGAGCTCTTAAGGATAAAACAAAATTGGAAAAGTATATTCCATGAATTGATTTTTATTCTCAAATTGCCTCTGGAGTTTATCATCAACTAACAATACACTTTTTTATGCGGACGTGATCTAAATAAAATGTCTTGGCGACTAATTCCAAAAATGTATGAGCTCTCAGGGCTAAAAACAATTTGGAAAAGGACGTTTGTTTCTCAAATTTCCTGTAAGGTTATCATCAACTGATAAATTTTTTCATTCTAACATGATTCATTCAACATGTTCAAGTCTAATTATTAACCTTTAACTCTCATGAGTGACCAAGACAGAATTTCTCCTTACAATATCAATACAATATCAAGCAGACAAGTGATAACAAATATCAATAAGGGGATTTTTATTTGATCCAATATCAAGTTCTCAGAACTAACACGAGAAGAATTGTATGGCAGGCTGTAAGGAGGATTACTAATGAGATATTGGGAGTGAAAGGGTTAAAGATGTTTGAATTCTTGAGCTGGGCTACAACTAAATTGAACTGTGTGCTCAAATTGCTTCTAGTGTTTTTCATCAACTTCTTGATACAGTAGTTATTTTTGAACGTGATGTGATAAAAATACGAAAGCCTAATTTTTCACTTCTGAGCTTTTGAGGCTGAAACCAATCAAACGAATATGCTCAAAAATTTATTTTTGTCTCTCGTATTTTGTTTAAAGGTTATTAAAAAACTAATATATAACTTTTTAACGTGATTTTATGAAAATATCGGAGCCTAATTATTAGAAATGTCTAAGTTATTGAGACGAAAACCAAATTGAAATAGTATGCTCCAAAACTTGATGTTTGTATCTCAGTGCCTCTATAGTTTATTATCAACTAATAAGAATTTTTTTATGTGATTTTATGAACATCATAGTGCCTAATTAAAAAATGTCTTAGGTCTTGGGGCTAAATTGAAATAGCATGCTCCAAAAAATTAATAATTTTCGATTTTTCGCGAGGTTCACTCTTAAATCTTTATTTTTTATTAGAGAACATCAGAAGTTTAATAAACTGAAAATACTTAATCCTGAAAAATATATTTGGATAGAATAGTTTAAACGTTGAAAACAAATTTTTGAATCCCCTTAGCTTCGTCAGTTTTACTTATTCAATAGAACACAGACACGGAAACTTTCAAGTATTTATTGCCATCTTAACCAAAATCTCGGTAACCCTGTATCAAACGGCTTTACTTAACAATGGTAGGACACCAAAGAAATCTAGATTTGAGTTGATTAATTCAAAGTTGTTCACTGGAAACCAATTTATAAAAGAAATAGCTTGATTTCATAACTTTTAACAAAGTTATTTATCGAAGAATAATTTCAAAAATATTCTCTGTCAAAAGAATTAATTTGCAGCTTTTCATTATTGAAAAAACGCCGTCAGCCAATTTCTCTTCCTACTGTTATTTGCATTTTAAATGA